TTTTCTTAATAATTTTTAGTAAACTTTCAAAAAATAAATAAAAAACATGCAACATCTCTATCAAAAAATAGATAACAAACGCGATAAATTCCCTAAACATAGTTTTATTCAATGTGTTGTATTCGCGTAAATATGAGGAATCATAAAATACATCGAACTCAAATCGCACAGACTGATGGTAAGAAGCAACATTGCCAGCCATTGAGTTATATGTACTACGTACTAGAGAAGCCATTCCAAACAAAAAAATGTGCACTACTCTACGTCTTCGCGCATGCGCGGGAGATTGTTGGAGTTTTGGCGGGAACTTGACCGGCGGCAGTTTGCTGCTCCTGTATTATTATTTAAATAATGGTTTGAAGTGGACTTTGATATGTAAAAGTGGTGCAATTTTGTGTATTAAGTGTCTGCGCATGTGAACTATTAGTGGAAACTGTGAAACAAATGCTCTGATGGTGATGTGATTCTCAAAATAAGGTGTCTGTCTGCTTAGGCGCCTTGAGATACCATCGCCAACCGTCAGCTGTCTGCTGGCTCAAGTTGCCATCAAAATCTCCCAAGGGCTGCACAATGTGACGCATCAACATATTGTGAAGCAGTATACTATGAAGGATAATTATAGTATATTTAACTTCAGGCTCAGAAGGGCTAGATCCCAGAGCCGTAAAGCCAATTATTAAGAAGAAGAAGAAGCGAGATATAGTAGAGTCGCGCATGTGCAGTTGATTTAATCGCGTTGCGCCTGCGCGGTCATTTTTAATTTTAAACTTTAATTTGAAATATTGTATTATTAGCGCCGCACCACACTGCATCTACAGGGTATTTTTGGAACGCTCCCGAAAACTAAGACAGGCGACAGCACCAAGTATACCTTTGATCATGGGTTACAAATAAAGTCGATCCTGATGAAAAAAAAATCATCTTTTAATAACGTTTTATTAGCTTTACTCACGCGCCATCATGTTAGTACAGCTAAATGAAACGATAATTTCATAAAAAATATCATGAAAATACTGAAACATAAAACCAGCAGTGGAAACTGAATTGATATCACCTGACTAATGGAGGTTAATGTACGCGCGAACGGTGAAAAAAGAACGCTGGCCTTGAACTTGGGCACTGAGCGATTTATCACATATAGGTACGAAGGGGCGCGACGGGGGAACAATCCGCCAGTATTAGTGTGCCTGCATGCTATTGGTTCCCGCGCTTTGTTCGCTCCAAAAATACAGTCGCATACACAGCTTACTTTGCGACTCGCGACGATGTTTTAAAAAGGAAGGAAAGAAAAATTATTTATATCTATTGTTTTATGACTAAACTAGTGATCGAAAAGGTAAATATGATAGGAGAAGGTGAATGGGGAAAATTGTGCAGTAAAGTTAAAAGTGTGGAGGAAGAATACCGAAAAAATTACCATGTGATCGACCTGATGACGGAAGCTCAAGCGAAGATGAAAGTGATGATCAAGTAGCATCCAGTAACACCAACACACCATTAACATCTGGCTTCCATGTGACCCAAGACGTCATAATGGACGGCGTAACTTAGCTAAAGTTTTCTTGTTACAAACTACTTTATATTTTACGATAGAAATAACAAATAATGCTCATGTAAACATTATCCATTTTTAATTCCCACCTCTTCCAAAGTTCTAAGTAGCTAGTAAAACACCTATTATGATTCTACATTAAAACAATTAATTACTATAATATTATAAAACAATAGCCCAATACCATGTAGTACTTTAGAACGCGATTGTACCCACACCCCCTCCGCTATCGACCTGTATCTAGCTCGGTACGAAACACGCGGTCGTAAGAAAAAAGGGCGCATCTAACAATTTATGAATAAATGAGTTAAATATACCATTCGATTCATGATAAGAAGGCGCATCTACTAAATTTTTTAATATTCACAAATATCAATATTTTAGAAATTATCGTAAGAATTTTAGACGTAACTGTTGATCACAGATGACTTTTTTTAGTAGAAAAGACTTATACAAATTCAACATAAAAGAAAAGACTTATTTAACCAGTTGCTACGTCATCTTTAACAATATTTGCATCGATTACTTAAATTTCAATTATTCTTGGTCTTGTCTTATTATTCTATATCTTATTATTAAGAGCTTATATCTTATTGTTAAGAGCTGGTGTTTCACATGTGGTCCCATATAAATTTGATCGAGGTCAGACCAATAGTTTTTGAGTTATCCTTAATTATTTATATTAAAGTCGGTTGTACAAAATTTTTAATTTTTAATTATTATCGTAGTAAGTCTTGTATAATATCCCCTTTAAAATCATTACTTTTTAAAATTATTATTTTTTGTGTCTCACTACCAATGCTTTTCTAATATTTATTAAAAAAAAAGTAGTAAATTACTATTAGCGTCCTTTCAACTTCAAATGACCTTTCCAAAATATGTAAAATTGTTAAATGAATGGCAGTTTTTTTTTAATTTATTAGGTTGGAAAGACGCAAATAGTTATATGCGTCTTTCCTTCGATGTTTTTGTGTTGCCAGGTGTATTTTTTAAGCTAAGATGAAAAGGAAAATTCGTTTTATTTAAATAAATAAACAAATTATCAAAAAATTTGTTCGTCCTTAAAATCTTCATGTCTCTACGTATTTTCATATAGATACCTTTTAATATAGGTACTTTAGACACAGGGTCTGAAAGAAAAATTCATCAATTTATTTTTTATTTCCATTTTACGTTTTTGTTAGTTGCGTCCTTCTTTATGTAACCCGACGACGGCAGAATGTAACCCGGCCAGCTCGTGTCGCCTCACGCTGTGACGCAGTAGACAAAGCAAGGAGTAAAGTATTCTGTGAGACAAAGAGTATAATAACTGTCCTAGCAGTAGGTTTCAGTTTTGTTGGGGTTCGTTATTAATTGTAGTTTTTGAAACAGTTCCGTGTTGATTTTGTACACGCGTGCGTGAGCGACAGCTCAATCGTATTGTTATTACTTGTGATTACGTGTTGGTATTATTCCTGTTGTTACGTTTTTTGTTTTAATAATGCTTAACGCGTACTTTTATAGTGATTGTGAATACAGCAACATGTTATCCGAACCCAGGTACACGAAGTATCGCCAAATAAATTGTTAAGACGTCGGGATGCGTTTGTGCAGTGCACAAAGTGTTGAAGCGTAACCGAATGCGCCCATACAAATTGCACAAAGTGCAAGCTTTAGTTCCCGGCGATCACGTCCGCCGACGAGTTTTCTGCCGTTGGTTATTATACCAGCGACAACGTGTGCCTGGTTCCATTGAGCACATTATCTGGACGGATGAGTCGACATTTACCAGAAACGGCCTGTGGAACCGAAGAAATACACACGTGTATTCAGAGGTTAACCCGCACGCTGTTCGACAAACCGGGCACCAAACCCGATGGTCGGTTAACGTATGGGCAGGTTTATTTAAGGATAGCATACTGGGACCAGTGTTTCTGCCACAGCGACTGAACAGACAGCGATACCATGTCGTGAGGTTCGTTCGTGAGCGCCTCAATGAGCTATTTGATGATCGCTGGATCGGCAGACTAGGACCACACGCTTGGCCACCTCGCTCACCAGATCTGACCCCGTTAGAATTCTTTTTGGTATGTGAAAGAAAGGGTTTTTAATCGTGAGTGTGATAGTGCTGACAAAATGCGCCAAAGGATCGTGGATGCTTTCGAGAAACTATGTACGGACTGTGTCGAAGACCACACGATGATGCCCCGCCTGCACCCAAATCTACCTTGAAATTAATGGAGCACAATTTGAGCTGCATCTCATAAGACCACGGAGGATTTAGAGCGGTAAGCTGTTTCATAACTATTTTTTTTAACTACTTTCACCGTTCGCGCGTACTGAACTAATCTGAATAGGTACATAACTGAATACATGAGAATAATAAACATACCTACACGATGAATAAAAACGCATGACTCCAACCTTGGTTACATTTCATTTAAGTATTTTTTCATTAGCGTATGTAGTGGTATGGCCCGCTAGTTGCGGGCCGCGCGAATTTGCGTTCGCGAGTACATTGACCTTTAGTCAGGTGATACAATTCAGTCATTCCACTGCTGGTTTTATGTTTCAGTATTTTCATGATATTTTTTATGAAATTATCGTTTCATTTAGCTTTACTAACATGATGGCGCGTGAATAAAGCTAATAAAACGTTGTTAAAAGATGATTTTTTTTTCATCAGGATCGAATTTATTTGTGACCCATGATCAAAGGTATACTTGGTGCTGTCGCCTGTCTTAGTTTTCGGGAGCGTTCCAAAAATACCCTGTATATTGAAACCACAGACTAACTAGTAGATTGAAACCACACTAATGATGATGACACACTGTAAGGATTGCAGTACAGTTCTGTTGAACATAGCGTATGTTCGGAATGCGAAATCTAGTACGTAGTATTTTTTTTTTGGAGTTTATGGCCTGGTATCTAGACCTTTAGGCCAAGTCTTAAGTATTTTTATTCGGTTTATTGTAATTTCCTCACTCCTTCATAGTATACTGCTTCACAATATGTTGATGCGTCACATTGTGCAGTTCTTGGGAGATTTTGGCGGCAACTTGATCCAGCAGACAGCTGATAGTTGGCGATGGTATCTAAAGGTGCCTATGCAAACAAACAGCTTATCTTGAGAATCCATCACCATCAGAGCACTTGTTTCACTGTTTCCACTAATAGTTCACATGCGTAGACACTTAATACACAAAATCGCAACACTTTTACATATCAAAGTCCACTTCAAACCATTATTCAAACAATAATACAGGAGCAGCAAACCGCCGCCGGTCAATTTCCCGCCAAAAACTCTAGTACGTAGTACATATATATTAATGTTGCCAGCAATGAACGATCTTAACCCTCTATACTGCTTTATGTGTGTGTGTTCATAAACATTTATGGCTGGTAAAACTCATTTGATAAAATCCTTAACATAATACAACTGTTGACACTATCTACATTTTTCTAGTACCTGGCGTGGCAAACACATCTGAACAGCCATCGGTACCTCAAGACCTGGCTTCCTTAATTTTAAATAATAAAGAGGTCCGGGTAATGTAGCTGAATGTATGATCGGCGATTTAAATTTCATCACAGGTTGCCACCTAAAGTAAAAATTGTTTTAGATTTTTTTTGTAATATTTCAACTTTACTGCCTCGTTGGTCTAGTGGTTATAAACGCGGTTGTTGATCATGAGGTCCCGGGTTGGAATCCCGGGTCGGGTCAAAATCAGTTATTGTGTTTTCTGTCAAGAAATTCTCAGTAGCAGCCCGGAGTCAGGAAGTTGGTGGTGTTTCACCACCATGCCTCGTAAAACACGTAAAGCTGTTGGTCCTGCACGAACCATGAGAGTGAGAGAATAGCGCTCTTGTGCTTGCACATACACATTCGTGCATTATAATCCTGTCCTGTGTATGTACACAGCCATGTGGCTGGTCTCTATTGAGTCTGGTCATCGTGACTGAAATTCGGTCTGGAAGACTTTAATTTTATTTCAAAATCTCTTTGCATATTATAATAATATATGACAAATTGTAGATCATATTTTGTTTCAATGATATTGGTGTCAAAGGACAGATGAATTTCTTTATAATATTTTATCAGGATAAAAAGTAAAACCTTCTTACCTTCGATTCGTACCAAGTAAACTGTTTCTAAAGCATCCGAATGCAGAACTTTTACACCTATGAATAACGAATGAGTTTAAAAACAATTAAAGAAATATATTATTTTTTATATTCGAAATATACATAAAGAATCGTATCATTTACCCCAAAAAACTGGAATTGTATCGCAATATGACTTCACCTATTTCAACATCAGGATTAGCACTTATGAATGGGTCTAATTTCTGTAGGAAAAGTGCTGCTAGCTGTAAAATTCACAAAGTTGATTATTGCACAAACTTTGATATAACACTTTAATTCATGAGGTTTTTAATAGTTGCTACATACAGTGTGGTAACAGTCAAAGAATCCATCGCTCTATACCAACATGTAGTTGTAATTACGTCGTTTCAGGGACATACGAGTATCAGTAGAATCCATTGAACTCCAACGTATATAGACAGAATATACCTACCCACATATTAAATATCCTTTTCAGCTCATTAAAGTCCATGCCTGGACTTTGACCTCTCACGTTGTATGGACGATTTGCCATTATCGCCACGATTGGCAGATTGGTGATCACGGTATTAGACGTGTGCACCTTTACCGTTTGTCGTAAACTGAATGGTTTTACCGCCATCTATCGTAAGCCATTAGATCTTATTAGTATTTTCTATAGTCGGCTCATGCGCATCCAGAAAATGGGTGATGGATGTTCTTACGCCGCCACCACTCGGCTTAAATTAGATATACCTGCCTTAAGATATTTAGACCGGTAATAACAGTGTCTATGTAAAATTGCATCTGATACTGCAACTTTACATAGACCACAATATAGTGCCACCACACGGCTTAAATTAGATATACCTGCCTTAAGATATTTATACTGGTAATAACAGTGTCTATGTAAAATTGCATCTGATACTGCAACTTTATATAGACCACAATATAGTGCCACCACACGGCTTAAATTAGATATACCTGCCTTAAGATATTTATACCGGTAATAACAGTGTCTATGTAAAATTGCATCTGATAAGGCAACTTTACATAGACCACACTATAGTGCCACCACACGGCTTAAATTAGATATACCTGCCTTAAGATATTTAGACCGGTAATAGCAGTGTCTATGTAAAATTGTGTCTGATACTGCAACTTTACATAGACCACACTATAGTGCCACCACACGGCTTAAATTAGATATGCCTGCCTTAAGATATTTAGTCCGGTAATAACAGTGTCTATGTAAAGTTGCATCTGATACTGCAACTTTACATAGACCACACTATAGTGCGCCCATACGGCTTAAATTAGATATACCTGCTGTAAGATATTTAATCCAGTAGTTACAGTGTCTATATAAAATTGCATCTAATACTGCAATCGACCGGTGCAGTTAGTGTATCGTTGATTACTTATCAGAATCCACCACATGTGGCATTGGCATTTAGTACTTGGAGAAAAAGCTACTTAGAGTTAGATCGTTTGCAATGAACACATTAATTACATCGAACTTAAGACTTATGTAAACTATTAGTAGGGTACAATAAATAAGCGAACTATTTTTAGGGTCGATAATTAAAACGGCAAGGCCCCAGACGAAGATGGAATTACAGCGGTGCTTCTGAAAGCGGGTGGAAAACCGGTCTTTGAAGTCCTTCAGAAGTTCTTTAATTCCGTCCTCCATAGTGGCATTACACCGGAGGCGTGGAGCAGAAGTGCGGTGGTCTTGTTCTTCAAGAAAAGCGACAACGCTCTCTTGAAGAACTACAGACCGATATCCCTTCTGAGCCGCGTCTACGTACTGTTTTCGAGAGTCATTACGAATCGCCTCGCGCGCAGACTTGACGACTTCCAGCCTCCCGAACAAGCCGGTTTCCGAAAAGGCTTTAGCACCATAGACCACATACATACCCTTCGGCAAATTGTACAAAAGTCAGAGGAGTACAATTTGCCACTATGTCTGGCGTATGTAGACTATGAGAAAGCCTTTGATTCCGTCGAAATTTGGGCGGTGCTGCAGTCCCTTCAGCGGTGCCAAGTTAACTGTCGGTATATCGAAGTGTTGAAGTGCTTGTACAGTAGGGCTACGATGGCTATCCGAGTACAGAACCAGAGTACGAAACCTATCCAACTGCAGAGAGGTGTAAGACAGGGTGACGTCATATCCCCGAAACTCTTCACCGCTGCATTGGAAGACGTTTTCAAGCTTCATGACTGGAAAGGATACGGTATCAAAATCAATGGCGAGTACATCACTCACCTTCGATTTGCCGACAATATATTCCTTATGGCAGAATCGCTGGAGGACCTAAGCACTATGCTCAATGACCTCAGTAGTGCTTCCCAACGGATAGGTCTTAAGATGAACATGGACAAAACAAAGATCATGCTTAATGTCCATGTCACACCTATGCCGGTAGTTTTTGGGAGCACTAAGCTCGAAGTTGTTGACGAGTATGTTTACCTGGGACAAATAGTCCGACTAGGTAAGTCCAACTTCGACCGAGAGGTCGATCGGTCGACGGATTCAACTCAGCTGGGCAGCGTTCCAGAAATTACGGCACGTCTTCTCGTCAGGTATACCTCAAAACTTGAAAACAAGACTGTACAACCAGTGCGTGTTGCCAGTGATGACATACGGAACTGAGACGTGGTCCTTCACTGCTGGCCGGATGAGGATGCTCAAGGTCGCTCAGCGAGCTATGGAGAGGGCTATGCTCGGAGTTTCTCTGTGTGATAAACTCAGAAATGAGTAGTAGAACCAGAGTGACCGACATAGCCCAACGGATTAGTAAGCTGAAGTGGCAATGGGCCGGCCATATAGCTCGAAGAACCGACAACCGATGGGGAGGAAAGGTTCTCGAGTGGCAACCTCGTACCGGCAGGCGAAGTGTTGGGCGTCCCCCCACTAGATGGAGTAACGATGACGACCTGGTAAGATATGCAGGAAGTCGATGGATGCAGGTGGCTCAGGACCGTGCTTTGTGGCATTCCTTGGGGGAGGCCTATGTTCAGCAGTGGACTTGTGAAGGGCTGTAATGATGAATTAAAATTCACCAATAAACTCATAGAATCATGAACGATATGAATGCATAGCATTTTCGAAGTAGAAACGCAACGATCATTTCACTATTTATGATTAATTCGCTGGTTAGCCGTTACCAAATTTTTCTTAAAGTCTGAAACTAACTCACAAATTGATTTATCTAGTATCGTTTACAAAACGGGAATAGACTGTTTCCAATAGATCGGTAAACAAGGTCAGATGAAATCAAGTTGACAATGTTTTATTTCTTAGTACCTACACATTTTTTTGCGCTCTCGTACATAATATATTTTATTTCATTTTATGCATTATCAGCTGCATGTTTTAATATAACTATTAATAATTATCTATTAAATAAGAACTGTGGAATTAATGAATTACATTTATTGCAAATCTATGTTTACTTGAATTATGCAAAAGTTGGTTTGTATTTGTCCCCGTGTTTACGCTAAAAGCCCAAAAATGCTTCCTATTCTTAATATACCTTCCACCTATAGTTACATACAGATGTACCGACAGCTTTAATAAGAAAACCAAAAATTAAAAATAAACATAGCTATAAACTCGACTGTATTTAAGCAGAAGCTCGCGCACGTACGCAGCAAAATTTGCTTTTGCGTAGTGCCTTGCACCTGGCTTCACAGCCGCCATTAAACTTGGATTGAACTTTACATAGTACGTACTGCTTCGCCAACATCCTCGGAGCAATAGTGTCGGTGCGCGTGAGTGTTAGCGTGCAGTCGCCGCGAATAACTAGTGCAAGGGCCTGCACCGTAAACGCTCGGGTCGTTGCTCTCAAAGTTCGGCCCCACGATCAAACCACCATCGTACACCAAGCCGCAGTCCGTTATTGCTGAAAATTGTTTATAGTATCTTTACATTTCTGGGAGGGTTAAAAGACGATAACGCCACACCGCTCAGCGGTGTGCGTTATCGTCTAGATATCGTATCGAATTAGAATTCAATGTGAATTTCGAGTTTCACATGTTTTTAAAATATAATTCTGAAATGTAGGTTTCATCACGATGTTCTCCTCTCCTGGAATTTCTTATCAAAAGGAATACTAACAAGGCTATTAAAATATTCCCCTAATTAAACTGAAAATACTAGTGCTAGGAGCGTTTTACGATTGTAGTTGAATGACGGATTCGAAACCACAACTATTTAGTTTCAAGTCCGTATTCTCAAATATAAGGTTACAGTAACTTTACTATAGTTTATGCCAATTTAATGCTTAGATTTTTTTCGTATACGTGTAAACCGAGTTCGATACATGGTGAAAACACTGAATTTATGACTGCAATTTTAAGAATCTAAACTTCCACACACTCGGTATTAAAGAAAATCAATGTGAAGAAACCTGCAGTCCGAGAAGTTATTCCAAGGATATGTACATTTTGTTTTTATAATATAGGGTGACAAACGAGCACACAGTACTCCTAATGATAAGTTGTTGTTGTGACCCATAGACATCTACAGCTATCCTCAATAAAGTATCAAAATGCAGATGCGTTGTCACCCGTGAGAACTAAGATGGAATGCCTCTTTGCCAGTAAAAAGGGTCTCCGGTTCTCTACAATCACCATACCAAACACAGCAGTGTTAAGCTGCTATTTTACGCTGGTATTCTATGAGAGCGTGGTCCTTCTCCGGTCGAGCCAACTACAACTATACTACTAATATAGCTGCTGCATGTCTCTACCACGTATAAAACGTCTTCCAGTTTAATGTTCGATTCTCAACGGTCAAATTTCGAATAATCTGACGACATCAACCACTGAACAAATTTTGTAGTGCTACAAGTATACAAGCAAACACAGAGGCACTCACTCAATCAAACTTCTATATGTCCGATGTAATGCTTAGACGGTAAGATCGCCGGACGGTGATGACGATGACGATAGTATTCAGAGACAGAGGCAAAATAGCAAAATGATAAGTGGTAGAGCCACGCCGTAGCTATATTATAATGATTGTAGCACGTTGGGTCGACCCAACCCATGTGGATGTTAATGAGCCACAGAATCCACTTACCATCAGGTGGGCTGGGTGCTCGTTTGTTATCCTTACTCTATAAAAGAGAATCGATACTCAACACAACCTGAGCCAAAAACTAACAATATGTTTCATGCCAAAATGTTTGCATCCTGTTCTGGCTTCGCCTGGGATTTGAAGCATAAAACGCGGCATAGTAGCCAGGTATCTGACAAGCAGGCTACGCTACGAGTACAAGCATTATTTACCATCCGTCTGCAACCGTACGGAACGTAACAGTGTTACCCTCTTATCTTATAATGAAATTTTGCTGCAATACCACCGTCCGTCAACAGTGGTAAAATTAAAAATTTTGCACAACCGACTTCAATATAAATAAAATGAGAACATTATCAATGTAGTCCAAATCAATTAAATACACATTATTAAGGATTACTTAAAAACTACCAGTCAGATTTTGATCAAATTTATATGGGAGCACATGAGAAGCACCAGCTTTCAAATAAAAAGAGAATCGTCAAAAATGGTTCACCTAGAAATAAGTTCTAAGGTAACAGACAAAAAAATACAGTCAAATTGAGAACATTCTCCTTTTTTGAAGTCGGTTGAAAAAAGACCCTAAGCCACGTTACACTACAACTCATATTTACTCTCCTTCAGTGATCCATCCGCTTCGTGGTATTGTCGTGAAACAATTCATCGTCTCATTGTACTGTACCCTCACTATCGGATAAAATTCATGGTGTAAAGGAATGAAAATGGGAAGGAAAAAAAGATCCTGTTACCTTCGATAAATGACGATAAACAAGAGTTTAAGTTCAAGCAAGGGCTTGTCACATATTAGGTATCAAAAAGACTCGTTCAACGACCCATTCATATACCAAAGATGGTAAGCAGTATCATGGCTTAACACACTAAGGCCCGTATTAATAAACGTTACTCAACGATGAACTCAAGTGCGTAATCATTTGATACGCCCTCATTACGATATCAGCATCTTAAGATCGTTACTATTTAATAAACACATAAAAACAGTATCTCAAAACGCTGTACTTAGGAATACTGTTCTGTGACTTGCACTCGTGTACTTACACACACTTGAGAGTCAAGTTTCGTTTATTAATCAGTGTGGCACTCAGCTGATATCGTAAACCTAAACCGCATCTTGAGATATGTTTATTAATAAGATCATAACCTCAAGAGTGTACTCAAGTGCGTGTACTTGAGCACATACAAGTACATACAAACTTTCGTTCGTTATATCAGAGGGACATCAGGTCAAGAAAATTAAGAGATTCAGATTCATGTACATAAACACAACCATCAAATCTCATAGAGACCGAGGGCAACTTTATATAGCACTAAGTACTATCAATCTTCTCATGTCTTCTTCTTCCTAGCGTACTGATAGTGAACTAAAATTCCAATCTACTACAAATGCTTCCACCCATCACTAAGACGAAATATTTGAACCCTTCGTTATACTGAACAAATCGAAACACAGCAGCAGGGAACATCTAGTAAAATTGTCGATATAGTAAAAATCAAAATAATCACCTTTAAAAGAATGGGCATCGATGGCTTTGATTCCATAGTAGAAAAATGCGAAACAAGGCATATTGATCACTTGCGTAGGCGTCATAAATCGCAGTATATCTACACGCGAGCCCGACAATACCCATTCGGTAAAATAGCATTGCCTGTATACTTGTACTCCACGTTTGTCTAAGCTTAATTGAATTCTCTCATCGACCTGTATAAAATATAAAGTTTAAGACAGCATTATAATAAAATAAAAATTAAAAGCTAAAATTTTATACCTGTCCTCATTTAAAGGAACATACAGAGCGGTAGGTAGGATCAATACAAGTCAAATTGAAAAACGAGATTTTAAACAGAAATAAATGTGAAGAAATGTAATAAGAAATATTTTTCTATGATCAGATAACCAATTAATTGCGAGTAACACATCCAAGACATGCTGAACTTAGAATTCACAGACCTATAATGGAGAATAGTATTATGTCGTACGAGATTATCACATCTGCGCCCACCAACCGTCTGCCCAACGAATAAAGCTTCTAATGTTTACGTGGCTTATTTTGTTGATATTTTATGATCTATATCATCCCGGATTTCCGTAAAAAAAGTTGTAATAAAAAAGTTTAGTAATAGATGATAGAAGATTCATCACGGAAAGGAGAAGTCTAAAAGAAGATAAATCTAAGCTCTAAATGACGGTACACCCAGGAAAAGTTTTCCAGTAAACTTTTTGCTTCAACTTGTTTATATATAACTAACTTTCTAAAAGCAAAGGTCTCAACTGTTTACATTGTGTACTTTCCTAATTCATTTGATTGGTTTTTTTTTAGAGGAATTCGTTGATATGACATACCAAAGCGATTGTTGTTAACGTAATGAAATGAACAGTTAGAATTAGATTGCTTAGTACTAAAATTTATATCTACCTATTTCATAATTAGTTTGTCGGTGCATCTATAAAATACCGGTTGGATCGAGAGTGAGCGAGAGATTGCGTCACTCTTGCGGAGCGTCATATGGATGGTGACAAGGTGGAATTGAGGGTATATCGAGAAACTCCCCCCCCCCCCCCCCCCTCGTTTGTGATGTATAAATTTCACTGTAGGCACCAAGCGCAAGAGAGTCCGTCTAATTCATTCTACGTGGTAGTAGTACCAAGACTCGATCGTGGTTCTATCCGTTTGGTGTTGTGTTATCATGTAATTACGTCCCTCACGTTACACTGGTGTGTGGTTGTGGCGGGAAAATGTTACGGTGTGGTCGAACTCTAATTGCTTTATACCGAATCCGTAGTCCACTACGCTATCTTATTACTGATAATGATTAATTGCGTAAACAAGAGAGAAGTTGAAAACCCGCTATCACACTTTTATTATTTTTAAAAATCAAACTTATACTGATATATTTGCGATATTAGAAGTGGGATCTCCTGTTGTATATCTGACATCATAAGTAGGATCTTTGGATGAAGTTCCGACAAGTTTATAATATTAGGTCTTTGCCTATGATATTTCCGTTTTGTTGTACTAGTTTTATTTACAATTATACATTCATAAAGTTATTCCTTTAATCGTAATTCCTTTTTCTGTAAATGAAATAGGTGATGGTCAGCAGTATCCTCTCAATAACAACTCAAAATAATGAAAAACTTAGTTTTCCAAACCGCTTGCAAATGTTACAAAATCTCCCCAAGAGGCAATCTAATAGGAAGGCCAAGGCTCAGTAGTGGACTTTTATATGTTGTAATGGATGGATGGAATAGATTCCTTTTTCTAGTAGTAGTAGTTTTAGAAAAGTCTTTCGAAAATTCGTCTTAATTTCGGATACGAGTCCCGACTTTAAAACCAATGCGTCTTAGACTGCACGCAATATCATTGATGTATACGGTCATTGCACACTAACAAAAGAACAGTGCGACATTTCGAATAATCGCGTACTTTCGGGAACTGACACTTACTTCTATACACTTTGTGTAAGATTAAATAATGCCGTGTGTATCATCACATAAATGCTGGATGTGAAATGCACAGAACGGCTATGGTGAACATATTCTAACCGCCTGTCAAATGTAACCATTACTTCAAACCTTGTCCACAATCAGAGACACCTTTTAGTGAAATGATGTGTTGATAAAGAAGATACTTACGAGCTCATTATTAAAGAAATTGACTCTCAAAGCTGCAGTGTCTTCGGGGGGAAATGGTTCTACAAAAGCTATCATATTTGCCGCAATACCCAATTCAAGTAATGCTGCAATACATGCGTAGGCGTCTATGCAGTCGCCATATACAACTATCCTACTATCTTCACTTAAGGAGTTTATATTCTCTTCTGTAAGAATATGAAATATAAATTATGTTAAATGATTAATATCTAACAAAAATCGCATAGTTATGTCAGTATTAAAGATGCCACTACTCACCTAATGATTTAATAATTCCACACAAAGCATGTGTTACAATACAAAGTATTAAAAAAAGGTATTTTTTTATATGTTTTTTCCTTTTTCTTAATTTGTGTACACCCTCCCTATTTGTAATTCATTGCAAACCACAATTCTTTGCGCAAAAAAAATTGTCAGGATGAAATCGCTTTTAGAGTGCCTACTGTATACTGAACATTATATATGATTTATTTCATTTTCATTTTAATGTGTATTGGTGTAAAATAAAGAATGATATTATTAGGGTTACTGATAAGTGGTTAATACAGTCCATAGTCGATTAAAACGAACTTTAAGCTAAGAAGTCAACATATGCACCTTTGAGGAGCAAGATGGAAAGTCCCGCCGAAACAGCCTGTAATTACACTAGCTCTGCTTACTCTTCAATATAAAACATAACAGTGGATACACTGTTGCTTGATAAGTAAGATTGTACTCTTTCAGATGGAATTCTAGAAAAAGAGCCATGTCATCTAAAAACACCAAGAAAAAACGCAAACGGAAATGGTGTCTGCAGTTTTTCTAGTACTTGTACCACAAGTGGAAGACACCTCGCAAAAATAAATATAAATTTTAGATATGCCAATATAATAAGTGGGTAGTAGATGCCGTGTACTTCCACCCATTTGATAACAAAGAAGATCTTAATATGAAAATGGGCAGTAACATATTCCTGACAATATCATAACAATTACATTTTAAAAACTTAACAATTTAATAATCAAATAATATTAAAAAAAACTGCGGTTGACCGCCTGCCAAGCGAGGCAACTGTATCCTTCCTTTATGGCAATGTAGGACGGACGCCTATGTTCATCAATAGACTTTTGACGGGCTGTAATGAATAAATAAATTATTGACTATAGTACTAATAAAAAAAGTTTTTGGACCGACGATGAGCATAGTATGACTTTTTACGTGGTAGAGCCATGCTGCAGCTATATTAATTGTATAGAACGAATGGGTTGGCTAGACCGGGGAAGGACCACGCTCTCACAGAATACCAGCGTAAAATAGCGGCTTGATGCTGTGTTTCGTACGGTGAGTGTAGAGAACCGGCGACCTTTTTACTGGAAAAGAGGCATTCCATCTTAATCCTCACGGCTGACAACAAGCTGAGGATAGATGTAGATGTCTATGGGCAGCAACAACGACTTACCATCAGGTGGACTGTGTTCTTGCTTGTCACCCTTATCCAAAAAAATGATGTAAAAAAAAGATCATCAAGCATCAATCCGTCTTCCAACCGTGATAATTAAAATAAATTCTTTCTGATACTCCTGAAACTTTTTTATGGACTGATATAAAAAAGAAATTGCCACCATAATCAGATCAAGAAGAAAAAGGTTACCTGTTAAGTATAGGCTCAAAAACAAAAACAGTTTACGAGTTAATAAGAGCTTTGTCGGCGGGTCTATAAAATACCAGTTGGGTCGAGAGTGAGCGAGGGGTTGCGTCAGTATAGCGAAGCGTCATATCGGTGGTGGCACTGTGGAATTGGGTATAAGACGCCCATTACACGCCTAGGCAAGCGTCAATCAGTTCGATCAATCATGATAGACGTTTGTATGATAGAATAATTTCGACATTACACGCTCATGCTGACTGATCGTCAGTCAAACACAAATTTTCGGAGTGAAAGGACGTACCTATAAACTAAGTTCATTTTCGATTCACTATTTAATTATAATTTTATATCTTGAAAAGAGAAAGAATAAAAACGAATAGGAAAAATAGTAATATTTAATATCATTTTACCCATTTTAATTTAACGCGCGCCAATGTTCGACCTCTTGGAGTGCATAATTGATACGCGGCTTTATTTGAAACGCATTTATGGACGAAAAATAAGATAAATTTTTACATTTATTCGTATAGGGTGAATGCCCCTATTACCAGCCTTTTAGTGTCAATTTCAATTTCCTTTTGTGTATCTAATGCCAGCATAGCATAGGGCTATGCCTTTTGAGTTTTTGGTAGGTACCTATTGTAGGTATATTTTAGGGGCACTGAAATAAATTCATAACAACTTTTAATTTTAAATCATGCATGTCGCAAGTATGGAATATGTATTAAGATAGACGACAACAATTATTTTATTTTAATGTTTTACTTCTCACCTTACTGTGGTTTAGCTTTAAGCAGTTACATTTTATCTTTTAACACTAAACAATCAATTAAAACAATATTATAATAAAAATAATGTATTATAGTACACCGATTTCTTATAATTTACCCATCCAAGTTTTTGAATCTTTATCATCATTTCAGCCCTTCACAAGTCGACTACAGAACATCATCCTCCATAGACTGCCGCAAAGCATGGTCCTGAACCACTTTCCTTGTTACGACTTTTTCATTTATGTTCTTAAGTTATAGTAAAATTAGTATTACTAAGTTGTAGTTAATTACATTTATTGTTTGTTTTTGTCTTTCTCAAAAAATAATTAAATATTGTATGGTGTTCTTAACATATACCAAATGCCTGAAAAGCAAGTACGTTAAACTTTTAAATCAAACACCAATTTTAAAATATAGACGAATTGATCATAACTTACTTAACTATAAAATAAGTTATGTTCAAATTAATGGTATTTATTCCAGGTTATGACAGCCCTGATTTATATTACGTGGTTGAAATAAGGTACTTCTTATAATTTACGTCAAACAAAATAATAGTCGGGCGACTGACATTATGCACTCCATAAATTTCGTATATCTAATTACAGCCCCATTAATTTCCACTAAAAGAAAATAAAAACTTATGAATTTAAACAAAAATAGCTGCATTACTATGTCTATACTCACATTCATACAAATCAAAATGCCTAAAGATGAGCTAATGTAAAATATGCTTATGTTTTGATTTTTAATTTAACACTGTTAGGTTTAAAACTGTGAGGTAATATTTGAAATATACTTTCCTCTAATTAAGAAGAATTTTTAGCCGACCATATTTGTAGTTAAGACTACTGGAAATCTTATTTACGAAGTAAAAAGGCTGAAACTAGGGGCGTGGCTGGTATTAGGGGCATCCAACCTACCCGGGGTTTTTCGTGTCCCACAACTCGGGCAGAGACTGAAAATTTAAAATAAAATCTTTTTCTGGCTGAAACACATTTGGTGGGAGTGGCGACGGGTTGCGCGAGCGCGTAGAAGCAGCCTCTTTAATATATTCTGCGTCCGCCTCCATTGCTATCTGAGCGTTGACTGACGCGTGATTGATGAAATGCCATTACACGTTCAATCAAAATTCGTGACTGAATAGTTGATTGACGTAAAAATCAAAATATCCAGATATTTGTCAATCAATTTCATGCAACCGTCTATCACTACATTACACGATAGGTTATTCGTCAATCACAACCGTGATTGTTGTAAAACTGACAGCAAAACCTACCGTGTAATGGGCGTCGTAGAATGACGTCAGCGGAACCTCTTCCGCACGGCGCCTATAGTAAACTTTATACCGCACAAGCAAGTGGGGGGATAGGGGGGGGGGGGGAGGTTGTCGTTTTAGACGCCCATTACACGGTAGGTTTTGCTGTCAGTTTTACAACAATCACGGTTGTGATTGACGAATAACCTATCGTGTAATGTAGTGATAGACGGTTGCATGAAATTGATTGACAAATATCTGGATATTTTGATTTTTACGTCAATCAACTATTCAGTCACGAATTTTGATTGAACGTGTAATGGCATTTCATCAATCACGCGTCAGTCAACGCTCAGATAGCAATGGAGGCGGACGCAGAATATATTAAAGAGGCTGCTTCTACGCGCTCGCGCAACCCGTCGCCACTCCCACCAAATGTGTTTCAGCCAGAAAAAGATTTTATTTTAAATTTTCAGTCTCTGCCCGAGTTGTGGGACACGAAAAACCCCGGGTAGGTTGGATGCCCCTAATACCAGCCACGCCCCTAGTTTCAGCCTTTTTACTTCGTAAATAAGATTTCCAGTAGTCTTAACTACAAATATGGTCGGCTAAAAATTCTTCTTAATTAGAGGAAAGTATATTTCAAATATTACCTCACAGTTTTAAACCTAACAGTGTTAAATTAAAAATCAAAACATAAGCATATTTTACATTAGCTCATCTTTAGGCATTTTGATTTGTATGAATGTGAGTATAGACATAGTAATGCAGCTATTTTTGTTTAAATTCATAAGTTTTTATTTTCTTTTAGTGGAAATTAATGGGGCTGTAATTAGATATACGAAATTTATGGAGTGCATAATGTCAGTCGCCCGACTATTATTTTGTTTGACGTAAATTATAAGAAGTACCTTATTTCAACCACGTAATATAAATCAGGGCTGTCATAACCTGGAATAAATACCATTAATTTGAACATAACTTATTTTATAGTTAAGTAAGTTATGATCAATTCGTCTATATTTTAAAATTGGTGTTTGATTTAAAAGTTTAACGTACTTGCTTTTCAGGCATTTGGTATATGTTAAGAACACCATACAATATTTAATTATTTTTTGAGAAAGACAAAAACAAACAATAAATGTAATTAACTACAACTTAGTAATACTAATTTTACTATAACTTAAGAACATAAATGAAAAAGTCGTAACAAGGAAAGTGGTTCAGGACCATGCTTTGCGGCAGTCTATGGAGGATGATGTTCTGTAGTCGACTTGTGAAGGGCTGAAATGATGATAAAGATTCAAAAACTTGGATGGGTAAATTATAAGAAATCGGTGTACTATAATACATTATTTTTATTATAATATTGTTTTAATTGATTGTTTAGTGTTAAAAGATAAAATGTAACTGCTTAAAGCTAAACCACAGTAAGGTGAGAAGTAAAACATTAAAATAAAATAATTGTTGTCGTCTATCTTAATACATATTCCATACTTGCGACATGCATGATTTAAAATTAAAAGTTGTTATGAATTTATTTCAGTGCCCCTAAAATATACCTACAATAGGTACCTACCAAAAACTCAAAAGGCATAGCCCTATGCTATGCTGGCATTAGATACACAAAAGGAAATTGAAATTGACACTAAAAGGCTGGTAATAGGGGCATTCACCCTATACGAATAAATGTAAAAATTTATCTTATTTTTCGTCCATAAATGCGTTTCAAATAAAGCCGCGTATCAATTATGCACTCCAAGAGGTCGAACATTGGCGCGCGTTAAATTAAAATGGGTAAAATGATATTAAATATTACTATTTTTCCTATTCGTTTTTATTCTTTCTCTTTTCAAGATATAAAATTATAATTAAATAGTGAATCGAAAATGAACTTAGTTTATAGGTACGTCCTTTCACTCCGAAAATTTGTGTTTGACTGACGATCAGTCAGCATGAGCGTGTAATGTCGAAATTATTCTATCATACAAACGTCTATCATGATTGATCGAACTGATTGACGCTTGCCTAGGCGTGTAATGGGCGTCTACGAGTGGTTCTGTCCACCATTGTGGTGGTTCTCCTGGTGCAAGATGGTGTTGCTTTCTTTTCTTTCTATTCAGATACTGCGCTGTGTTATGTTGAGATGGATGTTGTTGCTGTTGGTTTGCATACTTTGGTGTCATCATGTCATTATGTTCTTCATGTTACACCAGTTACATATTACGGTATGATGAACTTTAATTGCTTTATACTAAATGCGTTTCGCTGTCTTATTATTGTTAATGCAAATATAATTTGTTCTGTTAATAATAAATTGCGTAAGCAAGAGGGCAAAATGAATCCGCTCTCACACTTTTATTATTATTAACAATTAACGCTATCCTGATGTATTTCCGAGATCAGAAGTGAGATCTCATGTTGTATTACCGATAAGCTTCAATTTAATATTTATCTCTTTTCCTCTCCTTCCACTCTTGGCTTCTTTTCTCCCACACACACTTTCTCTATTTTTTATTTAATCCAATAAATAATGTAAAGGTACTAGGTACAACAATAATACATACTTGACTCGGTAATCATCCATAGCAATTTCCTCAGACAAGTGTTAGCATCGTAGAGTGAGTTGATAAGCATTACATTATCGGGCACATCAGGTGCCGGCGGTACGTAATCCGGTTGGTACTTTGGGTTATCCATAGGCACTCTATTGCAGGCGTTTTGTGTTCTGTTTCAAATTTTAAATTAACGTTTTATATAATGTATGTGAAACAGAAGGTCGTAGACGCACATGTATATACATACATTAGAATATAGATAGAATATTAGAATATACATTAAATTCGCCATTTCACCTGATGATTAAGAACAATCCAAGATGTTTTGTCTGAATAACAAGTGATAAAATTTAAAAATGTAAAATTGACTTCAATATAGATAAAATGAGAACATCATCAATGTAATTGAGGTCAATTAAATACGCATTATTAAGGATAACTCAAAAAAATGGGATCGTTAGATGTACCAACTTTCAAATAAAAAAAGAATTATCAAAATCGGTACATATAAAAAAACAGCTGAACTGAGTACCTTCTCCTTTTTTGAATTCGGTTGAAAATTAGAACCTTTTTGTTAACACATCAACAATTATACATGCACTGACTCTTCAGACTTCAGACAGACTCAACCATGACTGAATGTCACTGCATTCCACTAAACATTTTAACATACAATTTGCTAAGTAGTATATAGGTACAAATTTCCATCTACATTTCTGAAGTATAGTTGCACTTAGCGGTTAGCCACCGTAGAGTCTATATCACCTGAGGATGCCTCGTGTAGAGGCGAAACACGTGTCGTATTATCGTCAGTGGTGTGTCTTGCCTAGTGTAGTGGTGTTGGAAGTAGCGGTACTGGGATTAGTGGTGATGGGAATAGTGCACGCCATTGAGGAAGGGCGGGAGGTGCTCTTCATACTAGGTAAGACACATCATTTTATTTTATATTTGAGATATTTGAGAAGTAAATTTTTCTAAAACCTTTTATATAATGGATTTCCGCAAAGTAACGCCTGGTTCTATTGATTATATGAAGTATAGTTTACTAATAAGCTATAGTGCACTAAACTCTCATCCTCCTTATCAGCCGTTATTTTACTGTTTTCCTAAGCCGGACAATTGATTACCATGACGAATTTGACAATTACGAGCTCTCAAGTATGTCGACATAATATTATGTATTGTCAATGATTACAACACGAATAAAAATAAATAACATTTTATGGTTATCGTAACGTTGTAGAAAATGTTGTTTATTGCAACAGATTTATCAATTCTACTTTCTTTTTTTCTATGCTGCACGCTAGCAACTCTTTGAGATATATATATACAACAACAATTTAACATTGCACAAGTATTGACACCAGAGTTTTACTCCCAAAAATTAAGGATTTGAATTGCCAAATACCAAGTAATTGTTTACCTTTCATAAGACATTGTTTAAATAAAATATAGAATTTCATTGGTGTCCTTTAACGACACAAAGACATTTGAAAATACTTACTTTGTCACCCTGTCACGCTCCAACAATTCATTCAAATATTCAGGATGCTGGAACTGCCGGCCGCAAGTCAAAATCAAATCATCATAATATTTCACGCCACCACCTTTCAGATGAATGCATTTCTTTTTTCTTAAACATATAAACAAAATTTTATAATAGCATAAGATACTTTAGATTTTGAGAATGATGCTAAGAATTTAAGAAGAGAAGAAATATAATAGAATAAATAATATCAAATGAATAAAAGAGTTTGGGCTCCACGGACTTTCATGTAAAAAAAGCGCTGGTAGGTCTTCACGACACGGTTCTTTGAACGATGTCATCCAAAGGGCTCTTGTCTCTATAAAGGTTCCCTCGGTTTTAGTGCCTTGTGGAATATTTAGAGACGATGGCAGGAGACCCGACGGTATGACATTGGTCCCTTGGGAGAGAGGTAAAGCCCTATTGTGGGATGCTTCTTGCGTAGACACTCTGACGGCCTCTCATCTCAGGGATACCTCGTTTAGAGCCGGGGCGACATCAGAGGCAGCTGAACTGAGTAAGTGGCGCAAATATGAGTCTCTGAGGGATGACTACATATTTGTGCCATTTGCTGTAGAGACTGTCGGTCCGTGGGGTCCACGTTCGGTGAAGTTCATAAAGGAACTCCATCCGCGGCAGGTCGTTGCTGCTGGTGGGCTATATGGCTGGTTCTTTTCTCCCTCAAAGCAGCCAGCGTCGGAAAGGACTCGGTCGTCGACGATTCGAAACGCTCTGCGCTGGATGCGGTCAAGTGGAAAGAGTTGGCACTGGGTAGACCCAGCCCAGAGATGGGAACAGTATTCCATGTGAGGCCGAACCTGCGCCTTGTAAAGTTGCAGGCGTTGTGAACTGACAACACAACCGGAATTAGGTCATCTAATTATTTTTTACAATCCAAGGAACATTATCGTGACACAGCGACGCATTAGTTCTTGTGCTTATTTACTAGCGACGAAATTAGTTATCTTTAAACAGAGAAACAAACTTTCCTTCTTGGTTACATATAATGCTGAGTGATTTTATAGATCAATATTCAATACATTTTAGCAATGGAAACTATCTTTCTTACCTGTCGATGCGTATCATAACAGAAGACACGACATCAATATAGAAGTAATAAGGAATGCATTTGAGATAACGATCAGTATAGCGACCAGTCCGAGGAAAGCATGTGTCCGCAGCACGGAGGCACTCCGCTACCGTGGGTAGTCCATGTTCCGATACCAGAGTTAGGTTCGTGAAAGTTAGGTATGGAGACGTGGGTCTACAATTCAAATAATATGAGCAAACAAATTAAACATAAAACATTAAGCACACTGAACCTACATGGACGGATCAAGAATGTGATGGTTTCGAAAGGACCTAGCTCTAACAATAACAAAATGCGAAGACCTGATATCAGTATTTAACACTATATAGTTCTAAAACTACTTTTTATTGTTTTTGATATTTGGCTAATCTAATAACAAATAACTAAAATATGTTCATTTTTCTCAAACTAAATAGTATTCGCTGATTTTACTTTAAAAATTGATATGATATATATTTTTTACGTGGTAGAGCCACGCTGCAGCTATATTAGTACTATAGTTATAGCACGAATGGGTCGGCTTGACCGGGGAAGGACCACGCTCTCACAGAATACCAGCGTCAAATAGCAGTTTAACACTGCTGTGTTTCGTATGGTGAGTATAGAGAACCGGAGACCCTTTTTACTGGAAAAGAGGCATTCCAACTTAGTCCTCACGGGTGACAACGCATTTGCCTTTTGATTCGCAAATGAAGATAAATGTAGATGTCTATGGGCCACAGCAACCACTTACCATCAGGTGGACTGTGTGCTCGTTTGTCACTCGATCCTATAAAAAAAATATCCTCCAGACCGAATTGCGTTCACGTTGGCCGGTTTCAATGGGGATTAGCCATCTGCACAGGACAGGATTATAGTGCACGGGTATGATAGTCCGATGGAACATCAATCTTACACGACCGGAGAGAGATCAAGCGCAGGACCAATGGCTATATATACTTTCCAAACTACGGGATTGAAAAACCGCCAACTTCCTAACTCCGCGCTACTTAAAATTTCTTGACAGAAACACACAATGACCACAGTGACCCAGGATTCGAGCCCGAGACCTTTCTCCCCGTTGCTCTATCTATAGTCAAACTATCTATAATGGAAATCAGTTGCTTTAAAAATGTATTATTATGGTTAATTAATAACTATGTCATACATCGCTAAAATTTTTGAGATTATGATGCAGCCATCTGTCGGAGGCACTTAAAAGTTGCATCCAGCAACAGGCGGCTTGTTACACTCCTCGGTATTTTAAGTCCAGTAATTCTAAAATGGTTATCACGCCTTATCCCAGAAGTTTAGAACGTGTTATACTGATGAATAAGGCCATCGAATTATTACAACTATAAATACTAACACATCCATAAATACTAACAAATTCAAAACAGCCTGGAATGAATGCTATACGAGACGGGAAAGGCTGCATGCTGAATGATGAAGTTTCGAATTTAAAGAGATGGAAGGAATACTTTGAAAGCGTCTTTAAGAGTGAAAGTCGTCTGAAGTAAGTGAAATAGAAATTCTGGAAGAAGTGGAGTAGGGAGATAAATGTAGATAAAATAATGAAAGCAATGAAAAGCATGAAAGCAGGTAAGGCAGCCGGATATGATAGAATATCACTCGAAATGCTAAGGGCTTGTTTAATTTATGTTGGGAACTGAAGCGGGTACCGGAAGACTGGTGCAAAGCCGTTATAGTCCCAATATATAAGAGAAAGGGCTCGTAGCAGGACTGTAAAAACTACCGTGGTATCAGCTTGCTTAGCATTGTGGGTAAACTGTATGCTGAGGTGTTAATTGAAAGAGTTATGGAAGAAACTGATGGAAAATTTGGGATGTGCAAGCTGGATTTAGGAAGGGGATGGGGTGTACGTATCAAGTCTTTTCCATGCGCATGATGTTTTTTGTGCGCTCATGGACTTGGAAAAGGCTTATGACAGAGTGGACAGGAATATATTAAGGCAAACACAAACGTTTTTCTTTGAAATAACCAACTAACCTCATATTCCTATCCAGTTAAATTAGGTAGATCCTAGTATTTGAGACGTATTAATTAATGCTGTAAAAAGCACTTATCAATGTCAGAGCTGACGGATTCGATTCTTAGTTACGTCATTTTTGTATTAAAAATTGATAAAACCTCTGACCTCATTTGGGTTGAGCGCTGGTCTGATACAGGCATTAAGGTCTCTTTATAGGGACTCTAGTGCTTGTGTCAGGATCAACGGGGTCTACTCGAACTGGTTTGGCATTCATAAAGGTGTCAGACAGGGATGTGTGGCTTCCCCGTGGCTTTTTAACCTATTTATGGACAGTTGTTTGCAAACTTTGAAAGTTGAAGAATGTGGGTTGAGAATGGGTGAGTTAAGCGTCAAATGCCTTTTGTACGCTGATGATTAAGTCATTTGCATCGTCGGCGGCCGAGTTGAAAATGATGTTTACTTTTATGAACTGGTCATTGAAAGAAAGGGGTATGAAAGTGAACTCAAGTAAAACGAAAGTGATGGTTTTTAAAAACAACAAAGTAAAACGTTATGTGAAATAAGAATAGAAGGGGAGTTTGATCAAGTGGATGAGTTTGTATATTTGGGATGTTTATTTAGCAAGGATGTTAGATATTATAAGGATATAGAACGACGAAGTGAACGCAGGAAATAGAGTGAATGGGGCTCTTCACGCTATTATGAGGAGTCAGAATGTGTCAATTAAGGCATGTATGGCAATGCTGTGTTAGTCCCTACTTTAATGTATGGTAGTGAAAGTTGGGTCTGGCAGAAGAAGCATTAGAGTGGAATAAATGCTGTAGAAATGCGGTCCTTAAGGAGTATGCTAGGGCTGAATTTGAATGACAGGGTGAGAAATAGTGTGATAAGAGAAAAGTGTGGTTTGCAAGACGACGTTGTGACAAGGGTTAAGAAAGGAATGCTTCGGTGTTTCGGTCATGTAGAAAAAATGAACGAGGAAAGAGTGACAAAGCAAATTTATGTTGCAGAAGTGAACGGCAGGATCGGGAAGGGACGCCCTAGACGAAGGTTTATCGACCAAATCGGCAATACATTAAAAATGGGCCAGATTAGGAGTACCCTTAACCGACGAGCGTGTATGCGTAGATATATGGATGTAAAGGAGGCGAGAGAGGTGTGTCAGGATCGCGCCAAATGGAAGTCCGTAGTCTCTGTCTACCCCTCTGGGTGACAGGCGTGAGTGTTTTTGTGTAAATAATAACAGTTCCAACTTTAATAACTTACCCCATAATTAAAGTTTCAAGAAATGAAAGACCAGTGCGACTGGCTCCCACCACAACTATACTCTTGTTAATGTAAATCTTCGGTAGACATGTCATTGGTCGGTCGATAGTCCACAGCGCATGAGGAGTCGAACTAAAACATTAGCTTAATATTGTGTAAAAATATCTTTTGAATAGAATAAGAAAAGTAAAGCTTTTGCCTTCTTCTTGGAAAACGAATCAGTACATCTACAGCGCTCCAGTGCGGACTAGGTTTGCGTGTTGGCACACTAAATACGTTTTCCAGTACCACTAGACAGAAAGATACATGGTATATATATTTATATATATAAGCTTACTATAAAATAAAATTTACCTTTCCTTGTATATCTTTTCCTTTTCTTTATTGCCGGGTGTGATAGGCGTAGATCGATAAGGTGCAAAAGGTACCATATGACATGCCAAAGACATAAGGTTGCGGCTAGGGCTCTAAAAACATTCAATTTGCATAATTGAAAAATCGTGGTAGTAGTTCTAAAAGTATAAAGTATTATTTTGCTAATAGTTCAAAAATATTAGACACTTTATTGTTTTTTAAAGGGAAAAACTTTTATTTAATTGTTATTTAAGGATACACACATTATATCCAAGCGATATTAAATAAAAAAGGTTTGAAGCAAGTAATCAGATTTTTGATTGAGTCAAGCGTGTTTGATAGTTTGTGGGGTATCGGGACAATTGAGCAGCTTGTCGTCGGATTACCTTGTGTTTGCTCAAGCGGCTAGACGTGTGCTTCAAGCTGCGTGGTAGAGCCATGCTGTAGTTATATTATTTATTTTAACTTTTATGCACAAAAAATCGTACATATGGCGGACTTAATGCCTTAAAACATTCTGTCCCAGTCCCAGTCAACCATTAGGCTAAGCAGAGATAAACATATGGGAGGTAGTGCAGCATGGTTTTATTATTTTTTATATATTATTGGCTATAGCACAAATGGGTCGGCTCCACCGGGGTAGGATCACGCTCTCCCAGAATACCAGCGTAAAATAGCAGCTCAATGCTGCTGTACTTTGTATGGTGAGTGTAGAGAACCAGAGACCCATTTACGGGATAGGAGGTATTCCATCTTAGACCTCAGAGGTGACAACGCATCTGCATTTTAGATTCTCAATCGATGATGGATGTAGATGTCTATGGGTCACAGTATCCACTTGCCATCAGGTGGACTGTATGCCCGCTTGTCACCCTTATTCTATAAAAAAATACCAATTCGGCGGCTGTTAGAAATTATCTGTCAAAAGATTATCAATTATTATTATTATCTATTATTCTCGTGTCTGGGCGCCTGTGGAGAGCGGTTCGGTAAAGTCCCGTGCCATGCATTAGAGCGAATATTTATATACCTTCCAAAATGCTCGCCATGTTCGCTGTCGGTCCGGTCGTGACATGTTATGGTGTTGATCGATGGTCAGTGACGAAACGCATTAGACCGTTATATTAACTTAATACAAAGCCCGACCGTTGTATTCATTTATTACAAAGAATATTTTTGTACGTGCATGTGCTGAAACGGTTACGGACATGGTATGCTCCTGACTGCCTCGCTAGTCTAATGATATTAAAAGTAACTGCTAATCATGAGGTCCGAGTTCGAATCCCGGGTCAGGCCAACAAAAATCATTAAGTTTTTCTGTCACGAAGTTATCAATTAGCAGCACGGAATCAGGAAGTTGGCGGTGTTTCATCCTCGTGCCTCGGAAAGCACTTAAATCCATTAGTCCTCCGCCTAATCTCTCTTCGCTCTTGTCGTTTTATGAGATTGAGAGAATAGAGTGCACCTGTGTTTACACATACACTCGGGCACTATAATCTGTCCTGCGCAGACTAGTCACCGTTGAGACAGGCCGCCGTGACCGAAATTTAGTCTGGAGGATATTATATACTAAAATTATATTATAATGCCCTCCGGACAAAATTTCGGTCGACTTCTATATTACGAAAATACTACTTCACGCTTTGGACTTATTTAAAAATATTTTAATACTATATAAAAATAATAACTGTTATAAAATTTCTCACCACTTCCCCTTTAGCAAAGAGCCGACATGTCCAAAACAACTGGGTGTAGTGACTTCGACGCAGGATATCGCGCATGTACCATCGACTGTGAGCTTCCATCACTGGCGATAGAACTCCAACTAAAATCTTTACGTGACATATTAATATCAATTTATACAAATGGATAAATAATATTATTTAGTATTTGCTAGGTCTTCGAATATTTTTTTATATAATAATTTATACAACTAATTTTAAAAGAATAGGAACATACTGTCCATTGTTTCATAAAGCGCACAGACTTGTGTTCACGAAGAGCTAGATTTGAAGGTTTGGAATTTGATAATGAGCTACGGAACAGATAGCATTTAAGTTTATAACTTTGTATGATCCATGACTGCAAACCAAATGGCTGCTATCTAAATCTTTACATCAACACAATATAGTAGAAGATCTGGACTCCCTTCATTATCAGTCAGTGAAAGGCCACAGCTGGATATAGGCCTGTCCCATTGTATCAAGGATATTCCATAATTATTACGCTCGGCCGATGGACTTATTATAGTAGTAGCAGATATTTGGTGCGACACTGCTCCTCGTTGCCAGTGTGTGTACTTTCCGCCTAATGAAATCAGGATAGTTATTCTATCATTCGTCGGAAGCCACAGGATCTTTTTGGCATAAATGAGGTGATAGATACCCTTACGCCGTTACCACACTATGGATTGATAATGAAGATTGGCAAAACTTTAAAGAGGAATGGGGTTGTTATAAATTAATTTGCTCAATTCCGCGTAAAGAAAGAAAATGATGTGTCCTGCCCAGTTTTAAGGGAACCTCCCACCCTTCCTCAATCGCGCGCACTATACCCGTCGCCGTCAATCCCAGCACTACCATCCCCAGCACCACCAAAACGTGTCATGCCTAGTGTAAAGAGGAAATTCAATGACATTATGAAATTAAAAAAAAAACATCGGTACAACAACACTCACGTTTCCGTCTGTATCTGGTGGTTCGGGTTCCAAAGCGTACTGAAGCCGCACAGATACAGCATCTTCAAGTGGTCTAAAAAGTAAAATTATTTTGTCTAAAACGTAAATATTTATTTGCTTCGATAAAAATTTTTAAACACTAAAAGACTGAAATATCTTAGTTAAGTGATTTTTTTTCTATATTTAAGCCAACACTACGCTTTGAGTAAAACTACTTTTACGGACTTTATTGAATTTAATTTTTTTTAACTTATTTTTGACTCCTAACATTTCGAGTGCTGTTCGAGTCATGAGGAGACTAAGGTGTTTGACGCGCTGATGTCACTGTTGCTGCTGATAGCAACCTTCAAATTTAAATATTAATTTTGGTGTGATATTCGCAGAATGAGTTGTCTGTATCTTAAAAGTATTGTAAATGGTACGGTATGGTTTTTACAGATCTTTTTATTTGCTCTATGTAAACGCGACAACATTCACAATCAAGCATTACACTCCTGCGTCTTGTAGGGGATATCACTAATTTGTCTAATCTTCTGTGGCGGCTTGTATTCTGATAGAAACTCGCTTCTAGATGTATCCAATCTTACGTGTGACTCTTCTAACATAAAACAGACAGGTAGTAAATAGACGCGCACCACTGAATTTGCTTTTAATAAGTTAAAATTAAATGCGATAGATTCTGTAAAAGTAGTTTTATTCAATATCTTAAGGCATAGTTCATACGATAAAAAGAGAACAACTCGAGCTGAAAATAGCATAATAATTTTAGTATGGCGTTACTAAAATTATTATGGTAATAACCACTGTCTTCCATTTTTCTTCAAAACTATGGTATATTTGGAAAGAAAGGAACAAACAATCAAAATGTTCTTCTAAGATAAGAGTTTTGCAGATATGTATGTTATTTACTAAGTGACAAGTATATTTAAAGCATTGTTAATATAAAACTCTAACGGATATGCAGTGGAATCTGGTTTTCAGATTTTCATGGTTTTGATTAGCAACATTAAAGTTAATATTCTTCCCTTGAAATATCTTTTTAATGATAAAAAACAAACAATTGGTCAAAAATTCATAAAAGAATCACAAGGATAGACAAAGAAAACAAAATTGTAAAGGACCTATCCTAAAACTACTTAACATAATTTTTTAAAGATCAAAATATCATTATTACGCAAGAACAACCACTCCAACGGGCTGATCTCTACTTAGAAGCACGTAAGAATCCAGTTCGTCTAAAGTGAAACTTGAATCAATTAGTTCCAACAGCTCATTTTTTCTCGGTGCATGCTCTAACACGTCAGTAATATACGGCACGTCATATTCCTCGGCTTGACGAACGTGGACTTCACTGCATCAAAAATATATTTTTGTAGAAACTAATAACAACAAACACTATTTACCTTGTGACAATTATAATGTAATTAATACCTACCCTTTAACGGAGTTGATATGCGCAACGAAAAGAGATTCATTGACGAAACGCGGTCGAGTATTATTGGGCGTTACTAACTGAAAAACATAATAATTGATGTTAAGAATAGTAAATACCACACAGCGTCAATTTCACCTTTAGGAACATGAGGACACCAACAAGACACCTTTAGTATTATCACAAGGAAAGTATTGAGAGACAATCTCGAATTTACAATCTCAATATTTTGTCTACACCATATCACAAATATTGTCATTGTAAAGTTTGAGCTTATGCTCGAGATTGTTGTTGCCTTAGGAATAGAACTTCTTTTCAGTTTGGAAAATCAAAAGGAGATGAGTACCGTCTCCTTTTTGAAGTCGGTAGAAAAGAATTCCATTGTTTGTTTTTTTATGTCTGTTACCTCATAACTTTTTACTGAGTGACCCTTAACTTATCTTCACGCACAATCCCTAACGGGGTAGCCAGAGAGAACAGATCGCCAAGTGTCACGATCCTTACAAACCTCTTTCCCTCCTTTGAGTGACCCGATTTCAATAATTCTTTTTTTATTTGAAAGCTGGTGCTTCACATGCGGGTTGTACAATTTTTTAATTTACATTTATTTTCCTTAGCAGTAGGATATGGGAGTAAGAATATACTTGGTAGACTTGTAACTGTGTAGTTTTTTTTGTTGGCCGCAGATTTCCTTGAACAGAATTGGCCACTCACTATCTAATTAACTTCATTCTACGTTCTCTGAATACCCTATAATAGATAACTATTTATACACTACATTATTGTTATGAAATGAATTATCATACGTTATATATATATATATATATATATATATATATATATAACTTATGGGATTCATTCTATATAGAATGAATCCCATAAGTGACGTAAGTAAGAGGCAGCAGAGAGAAATAAACCAGAAGATAGGCAGTTGAATCTTCCTTATAACAACGAGATTACTTAGGCCGTACTGATGATATATACGAGTATATATCATATCCGTCATCAGCCCATTAACAGTGCATTAAAGAGTACAGGCTTCCCTCGGTTTCTGATGTAATCCAATCCTTCCTGGGTTCGCCTTAATTCTTCGTCTTAAGAGACAAATTGGTGGTCGCAGTTCCAAAACTTCTATTATTCACTATCGTGATGGTTGTTTTAACGTCTCTGGATGTAAATTGCGACTACCACTTAGCGATATTTGTAATTAGTGTTTATACTAATCGTTATTTTTGGTCCTTATTTTATTGATGGTTCTAATTACATGAATATTTATAATATGAATTTCATTTAAATACCGTAAAATGTTCAAGCAGAGGAAAAGGTGGTTCACTAGAAGGAAGACATATGATACAATAATTTCTGTCTGGAAATATTTCAAAAGCTCCTTCTAACAATTCGAAACCAAACCTGGAAAAAATAATGAATAGTTTCTATTTAACATGTTAAGACATAATACAAGCAACTAAAACAAAATTATATATTTCCACGGTTGGAACAGCGTCTCCATAAAAACTGGAATTTAAAAAAATTATTGAGTAATGTCAAATATTTAACATTACTCAATATAAAGTGTACAAAAAATCATTATATCTATCGTTCTGGTAAAGTCTGATTAAATGACTCACATCGCATTGTAAAATTTCCAAATATTTTCTCAAATATGTAGAACCTGCATTCAATTCAACTTCAATGAATTTGATATAGCCACTTACAGAACAATAATCTGTTTAATGCTTTATGCATACGTAAAGAACCGCAGATGTTATTAGAAAAGACTGAAAATGTAAATATAAATCATTGAATTCCTTTTTTTTAATAATGTTTTGCCGCAAGTTGTACAAAATAACGATTTATCACAAAAACTTCAAAATTCATAAGATTTTTACCTATTTTGTACAAGGTGGGGCACGATCTGGCATTCTCCTTTGGAAGACTTAAATTCATTGCAGTAGAATCTTAAATAACTTTCAAATACATTTTTCCGTACGATACACGCAAGTGAAATCAATAAGTTGACAAAAGACACAGTTGACAAAGTAGCGCAATCTAATGAACGGTATGGCAGCGCATAAAATGCGAACAAACAAACATTAATTTTTATATAATAGACTTCACTACAACAATTAATAAAAACTAATTCAGTATAATACTGACTTCTTTAACTAAGTGGTTACATTACTACGATGAGAACTGTAATGAATATAATTCCAAATTCTACTGCTTTTATGGGGTGGTCAGAACAAGTCTATTGACTAAAATTATGACACCTTGGTTTGAACAGCAACAACAATTACACAGTGGAGTCAGCGTCTTCTATAACATTACACTTCGTAACATGTTTTCAGTAATGTAATATCAAAATCTTAATTAGCACATTTCGTGATCAACATGTTATTGTAAAATTATGGCTACTTGCAAATATCATGTTTACGAGTAATCGAATATCATAAACTTAGGACAATTTAGGATCAACAGGTTGTTATCATATTAGAGTCATATTGTTTATTTAGGAATACAAATGATAATACATTCATTGAAATTTAATGATATATAACTTCCAGACTGCATGACTATGTTGTAATATCGCAAGAGTATTTTGTAATTGTAATATTAATGTATATTATACATTAATATTACAACTGTGGTATTACAACATAGTTAATTAATAAGTCAACATATGTAATTGTAATATTCTCTGATATTAAAATTAAAACTTATATAGAAAGAAATCAAATTTGTATCTAAAATGATTAAAAATTATAAGGTTTCCTTGAAAACTTGAACCGAAAAGTGGTAAATTTATATAACGTAGCTATAATACCTCTCGTCGTAATCTTGATGCATGGCGAATATTTCAATAAGGAAAGCATTAGGTTCACCCGAATAACGTGTAGGCTCTGGCGTTTTATGATGAGGTAATGTTGTAATAGCAGCTACTAAAATAAGTTAATCATTAAAAAAATTATATAATGTATAATATTATCATTTTATTCAATAATAACTTTTGTTTTATAATAGGACAGTTAGTTTGTTAAGTTTGGATGATGCACGTTTAGTTGGTAATATTTTTCGTCCAATGTCATAGATAACGATGACCTGTTGTACTTGTAGCCTTGTGTTGTCAAATACACGGGGACAGACCTAGTCACTTCTAATTGTTTTATGGGAATATTGGTTACGGGTAAAACTTCAGAAAAAAAAGCAGAGGCATATGTATGCGTATACATCCACACAGGCCGCTAAACTACGCGTCACGAGCATGTCCAGGTCATCGGTGACGCGAGCCCATAAGTTATTCCCCTACCAAAAATCGTTCAACGCAGCTAAAGGAAAAAAAATCAAATGAATCTGTACGGTCCAAATACCATACGTTTATTTTATGCTGACGCGGTTCAAGCCGCGAATTACTTATAATGGACCATTTTCTAATTAAATTCAATGTGTGTAATAAACTGCTAAAGTAACAACACGTGTGCTTACTTTATACGCCACTCATACTTATCTTAAATTAACTTTAAACTACATAACGCTTTTTACGTGGTAGAGCCACGCGGCAGCTTTTGCTCTCGCACGGATGGGCCGGCTCGAACTGGGGTGGTACCACGACCTCACAGAATACCAGCGTGAAGTAGAGGTTTACCTCTGCGTTTCACTTGGTGAGTGCAGGTAGCCGGAGGCCCTTTTTACTGGAAATCAGGCAATCCATCTTAGTCCTCACGGGTGAGAACGCATCTATAGTTTGATTCGCAAACGAGGATAGGTGTAGATGTCTATGGGCCGCAGCAACCACTTACCACCAGGTGGACTGTGTACTCGTTTGTCACCCTTATCCTATAAAAAAAAATACATAACTATAAACTAACTTAACTATCAAAGAATCTGTACGAGTTGCAAACTGTGGCCCGTAAACAATCTAAATGTCACTGACGGTGTTATCCTTTCAGATTCTAGACGATGTCAAATTTTATTAGTTCAGAAGATGGTAAAGAAAAACTGCTGCCTCAATTCAGATATTGTCATTACTCCCGTGGGCATTTATGTTAGAGCTAAGAGCACGTTGTCAATTTTAACAGTACGCGAGCAACCCGTGTTCAATTCCCGCCGGAACCGATGAAATTATTAATTGCAATTTTAAGTTCAGACTTACCACGTGCTCTGCAGGAAAAGTACATTGTGAGGAATCTTGCGTGTCTGACAAATAATAAAAAGAATTTCGAAGACAAATGTGAAGTTTACCAACACGCATTGGGGCAGAACGGCGGGCATTTCCTTGCTTTAGGGCTATTCTCCAAAAATTAGAGAAGGCCTGTGCCCAACTTTGTGACGTATGGGAGGGTGTAACTTTAACTTTAACATAAATGCCCATGTCATCATAAACATCCGTCGTACATTAAAGAAAGTTACAAAGCATCACTTACAAGATTTCTTAATTCTTTCCTTTTTTAAATTTTTATCTTCGCTGGAAGAGTCTTTGCGTCTTCCGTCTAATATTCTAGACACATCGTCGATAGCACTTTTAAAAAAATTAAAAAAAATATAAATAAAAAAGACAAAGTAATCCGTAGATATACCACACTAATAGTTGTTTCCATAGGGAAACGCGATCTTAAAACGTATTACTTACCCTAATTGAGTCTTAGAAAATTCTTCGTAGGAAATCAAACTTGGAACTCGTAGCAAATGTGTATCAATATTTACGATATCGAATTCTAATTCTTCTTCATCTTCCTCCAAAAGTTCCATAATGTTCAATTGTGCCTTAATGCTCAAATGAGAAAGACGTGAAGACAATTCCTTTTCATGGCTCTTAGGTGGAATACTGTCCTGTTCCTCTTCTCCCTGTGATAAAGATTCTAATCTTTATCTTTAATTGATAACAATAATATTTTTAAAATTTGTTAAACTGAAACTATCTAATAATATTTACATAAATGACGAACCAAACCACAGTTTTGGTCCATAGACTACTACGAGTACATCCATCAATCAAAATACAGCTGATTGCCACCACTGAGAACTAAGATGAAAGGCCTTGTCACCAGAAAAAGACGTCTTCAGCAGGTCTATTCACAATCATCGTAAAGGAAAATCGACTTGGATTCGATAACTTCTCGTAAGGAAACCAATAAACGATACTCACATTCGCCGTTCGTATAAATTTGACATTCGTTTTCGGGAATTGACAGTTCGCATCGGAAACTTTACGAGAGATAAATAAGCTTTTTTAAGTATAAGGTAGATAACACAAATTAATTGCAATTGTATAGGACGTCATCATTCATCATCATCACATCCCTTCACAAGTCCACTGCTGAACATAGGCCTCACCCAAGGAATGCTACAAACCATGGTCCTCAGCCACCTGCATCCATCGACTTCCTGCATGTCTTACCAGGTCGTCACTCTATCTACTGGTGGGACACCCTACACATCACTCGCCGGTACCAGGCTGTCACTCGAGAACCTTTTTTCCCCATCGGTTTTCGGTTTTTCGAGCTATATGGCCGGTCTATTGCCACTTCAGCTTACCAATCCGTTGGGATATGTCGGTCACTCTGGTTCTACTGTGGATATCCTCATTTCTTAGTTTATCACGCAGAGAAACTCCGAGCATAGCCCTCTCCATAGCCCGCTGAGCGGCCAGCAGTGAACGACCACGTCTCAGTTCCATAGGTGTGACCTATGGAACTGAGACGCACTGGTTGTACAGTCTCTTTTTCAAGTTTTGAGATATACCTGGCGAGAAGACGTGCCGTAATTTCCGGAACGCTGCCCAGCCGAGTTGAATCCGTCGACCGATCGACCTCTCGGTCGAATTTGGACTTACCTAGTCGGACTATTTGTCCCAGGTAAACATACTCGTCAACAACTTCTAGCTTAGTGCTCCCAACAACTACCTGAATAAGTGTGACATGGACGTAATACATGATCTTTGTTTTGTCCATGTTCATCTTAAGACCTACCCGTTGGGAGGCACTATTGAGGTCATTGAGCATAGTGCTTAGGTCCGTCAGCGATTCTGCCATAAGGACTATATCGCCGGCAAATCGAAGGTGAGTGATGGACTGGCCGTTGATGTTAATACCCTATCCTTTCTAGTCCAGAAGCTTGAAAACGTGTTCTAATGCAGCGGTGAAGAGTTTCGGGGATATAACGTCATCTTACACCTCTCTGCAGTTGGATAGGTCACGTACTCTGGTTCTGTACTCGGATAGCTATCATAGCCCTACTGCACAAACACTCCAGCACTTCGATATACCGACAGTCAACTTGGCACCGCTGAAGGGACTGCAGCACCGCCCAAATTGCAACAGAATCAAAGACTTTCTCATAGTTTTTTCCGGAAAAATCGCTGGTGGTAATTGATTCCATAAAGAAGTTGTGCGAGGAAGAAAACATCTTCTAAATCGCACAGTGGTGGACCGCCAATAATCCAGATGTTGTGGATGGTATCGGGAGTTCTGCCGCGATGTGCGTTCGTGAAATTTGGCGGCTGGGATTAATCCGAACAATTCCTCAGAGCACTCCCCATGGTAAATGCGAAAGAAAATGCAAAGAGATGCAACATCTCTTCGCAGTGCCAATGAGTCGAGCCGATCAGAAAGGACTCGGTCGTCGACGATTCGAGCCGCTCTGCGCTGGATGCGGTCAAGTGGAAGGAGCTGGCACTGGGGGTGCCCCTGCCCAGAGATGGGATTAGTATTCCATGTGAGGCCGAACCTGCGCCTTATAAAGTTGCAGGCGTTGAGCTGGAATGAAATACTGTCCCGCTCTGCTGAGCACGCCAAGCTTTTTAGAGGCCAATTTGGCCTTCTCTTCCAAGTGACTACGAAACTGCACGTCACTCGATATGTCGACGCCGAGGATTCCGATACTGGCTGAGGCAACAAGGGGAGTACCTTGAAACTGAGGAGATACGACAAAGGGGTTCTTTTTAGCGGTAAACGCGCAAACTTGTGTCTTCTGAGGATTAAACTGGACTAGATTTAGTCTCCCCCAATCCGAGACTTTGTCCAGCAAAGACTCGACTTCAGACACAAGTTTGTTCCGGTACTCGGTGACGTTTTCCCGAGAAATATTGGCACGGCCGGTGTATAGAACATCACCAGTGCTGTCATCCGCATAGCTATGAATGCTACCGGCTTGCAACATATCATTGATATGCAGAAGAAACAGCGTAGCACGCAGCCTTGTGGAACACCAGCGTTAAGAGACTTGTAGTCGGAGCATGCACCGTCTACAACGAACTTGATGCTCCGATCTGCAAGAAAGCTGGTAATCATATAAATCGTATAAATTGCATAATTTCTCGGGAAGCCCATAGGAAGGGAGCTTCTAAAGAAGCGCTTTGTGCCAAACCCGATCGAAGGTCTTCGCAATGTCCAAACTAACGGCCAATGCCTCCCCCTTGGACTCTACTGCCTCCGCCCATCTATGAGTTAAGTAGACCAGAAGATCACCAGCTGATCGACCCCGACGAAAACCGTACTGGCGGTCACTAATCAGCTGGTGATCCTCAAGGTACCGCATGAGGTGGCAGTTTATAACGGATTCTATTATTTTGGAGAACAAGGGGGTGATGGCGATATGCCTTGTAGTTGGACGGGTCTGAGCGGTCGCCTTTTTTAGGGATCGGGTGGAAAAAAGCTGTCTTCCATGATTGCGGGACTACGCCTAGGGAGTAGGAGTACCGGAAAAGACGCGTTAGAACCGGTGCCAACTCCGGAGCACACGTCCTCAGCACAATTGGGGGGATTCCGTCAGGCCTACTCGACTTGTGGATGTCAAGGAAGAGGAGTGCTCTGCGAACCGAGCGCTGTGAGAACCGCACATCCGACATGGAGCACTCACAACGCGGGATGGTCGGCGGTGTGTTCCCCCCGTCATCAACAGTCGAGTTGGACGCAAAAAGGGAGCCTAAAAGGTCGGCCATCTCTTTTGCGTCGTGGGCCAGTGAGTCGTCCTCCCTGTGCAGAGATGGTAGTGATGGCTTACAGAAATTCCCTTAGACAGCCTTGGCGAGAGACCAGAATGCACGGGTTCCCGAAGGAAGGCGAACTAGTTTCTCGCCAATTCTGCCTATGTGCTCTGACTTTGCCTTGGCAATAACTCTTTTGAAGGACCTGGAGGCGAAGTTATACTTCTTTTTAAGTATGCTGGTGTTTACATCCCGAGTCACCGAAGCCGCAGCCCAGGCTTGATAACACTCCTATTTACTGCGTAAAGCAGTCTTACAGGAGCGACCAAGCCAAGGCTGAGATCTGCCTCCGATGGGTACCACAGATGTTAGAATAAATAGTTCCATTCCCTGTAGCACCACATCAGTGACAGAGTCAGCAACAGCGCTGGGATCATCCGGCAAGAAGCAAACCCGGCCCCATGGGTAGGAAGCAAAGGAAGACCGCGTTCCGTCCCAATCCGCCGACTTGTAATGCCAAACACGGCGGCAACCTGCAGAACGCAACCGCGAGGGGAGCGTGAGTGGCACCACACTCCGGATCAGACAATGGTCCGAAGAGCCAAGAGGGGCATCGACGGAAACCTGATATCCGTCCGGATGAGAGGTCAGCAGAAGGTCCAACAGGGAAGGTGTATGATCCTCAACATCTGGAGTCCGCGTAGGCGATGTAACCAGTTGTGTCAGATCATATGCCAAGGCAAAGTCATAAACAGATCTCCCCGCATGATCGGTTAAACGTGAACCGAGCCATTCGGTGTGGTGGGCGTTAAAATCGCCAAGGATCACGATCTCTGCAGATGGGACCTGTTGTAGCAAGGAATCTGTAGCCATTTGGACGTGGTCGATGAGTTGTTCTGTTTCGGCATTACCGCTATAGGACCTATAGAGACACACGTAGACGCGCATATGGTCGTCGCTGTATACGCGTAGCCAAAGGATGGACTGGTCCGAACCTTCAAGACTGCCGAGGCGTCGAGAACAGATGTCCTCTCTGACATACATGCAAACTCCAGGCCGAGGCACAAAGGAGTGCTCCAATTTGTACCCCGGGTAGGAGAGATACGAAGTATCAGCCGGAGAGGACACCTGCGTCTCGGTCAGAAAGAGCAAGGCCGGCTTCGACGTCTCGAGATGATAGTGGACGGCGTTTAGGTTCGAGTGAAGTCCCCTGATGTTGCAGAAATTCACGGATAGCGTGGCAGGGGTCGCCTTGGTCTTGTGGCTTAGTTTGCCCCGAGCAGTTATTTTGTGTTGAGCGGAATTTTGCCCCCCCCCCCCCCCAAAATACGCGGGGCAGCCTACGCTCAGGAGTGGAATAGCATGGTCGTGGATGCTCAGCGAGGGATTTTCCAGGGGTACTGGTACCCTCCTGGAGTAGTTTATGACGTAATTCCGCTACCATGTTGATGGGGGGGGGGGGGGGGAATTGTGCCTCCAGTCACCTGCACTCACCAGACGAAACGCGGAAGCAGAGCTTCCACTTCACGCCGGTATTCTGTGAAGTCGTGGTACTAACCCGGCTCGAGCCGGCCCATACGTGCAACAGCAAAAGCTGCTGCGTGACTCTACCACCGTTAATCCAAATATATAATAATAGTCCACATACGCCAGACATAGTGGCAAATTATACTCCTCAAACTTCTGTACAATTTACCGTAAGGTATGTATGTGGTCTATGGTGCTAAACTCTTTTCGGAAACCGGCTTGTTTGGGAGTCTGGAAGTCATCGAGTCTGCATGTGAGACAATTCGCAATGACTATCGAAAACAGCACGTAGACGCGGCTCAGAAGAGAAATTAGTCTGTAGTTCTTCAATAGAACTGGGCCGCCAGGGACTGGGGGGGTCTGTAGGACGTATTTCCATATAATTACTTCAATATTTGCACTTTGTGCACTGCCACTGACATTCAAAAAACTTTCCGTGTAGAATCCTAAACGAGAGATGTGAATACCAAAGTCTGTGACATTCGGATCGAATACTTGACGAACGAAACCTTCCAGCCTCCGAGAGAAATCTCTCCGAGACATTGTGAACAGCCCAGCTGTTTTCGTCTTTCATCAAACGAAATACAGCATCATTACGCTGCTCTTTTTTATTCTAAATGAGTGTGATTTTTCCGCGGTCGAGCTAAGTCATTAGTGCTGCAGCCATCATACAACCGGAGCGTGGCTCTACCAGACAAAACGTAACTTTGAATACAAATGGCAGAGATAAACCATTTATCAATCATATCTTATCCTCAGAACCCATAGACCTTCCTGGCCTTTACATAAATTTTTATGTAATTCTATTGTTTGCTGATGATGTAAAGAACATATAAAAAGAAGTAGTAAGGAATTTATTTCAAGCTCTAGTTCTAATCAAAAATATAGAATTTGCGTTTTATTTTAAGGTATTGCAAAATATAAATGAATTAACTTACTATACTAGATCTTATATCCTTCATTGAATCAACAGCGCCTCCGAAGGAATGGTTGAGATCACTAATGTGGTAGAGATTATTACCCGGAAGGCTACGAAAAATATTTCACATACAAATGAATTGCATAATATTTATAATATATAATAGACAGCAATGCCGTGTAGAGTGCAGAATTTAGAAGATATATATTATAGAAGTTGTCAACTAAATAAAAGATTTTTTGGAACGAAGTTCCTTATCGGGCGGTACGAATTTGGCGGATGGGGGCTAGGCGAGGAAAAGTGTAATATTTTTCCGTCACGACCCCTTCTGACGTAGCGTAGATGGCCTTGGCGGCTATAAGGAAGCGAGATGGAATATTATCCATCTCCCACGCATTTTTTCTTACGTATCTTGCCATGAAAGAAATATTATTTTAAATGACGCTTCATTTTAACAGACGCTAGTAATTCATTAATTTATATTTGTTAATCAATTATGTAATCATAGTGTTCGACGACACTTGCGCATGTTTTATTTATTCGAAGGAGTGCTCAAAAGTTCTTATTGCTACGAATAATCACTTTTTTGTATGATATTGGGGTTACAAATTAATAAGCTAGCAGTTCATTTAATGTGACTTCTACAGCCAACGAACACCTGCTACCTTCAAACATAGAACACTACTACAACAGTTTGCCCTACTGCTTGGCAGCACTAATAGATAATTGGTTAGGGTGGCATAAAACTGGTAAAAGTACACTCCCCCGTTAAAGGTTTATCACTATTATTTGGCTTCTTCCTATCAGGATGTTTTATTGCTTGTGTGGTGTGTGTCGGTGATTTATGTTGATTGAGAAGTTAGCTATAGATGATTGTTATTATGCTTTTTTTTATTAAGAGTCCTTTCTAAAATAAGATACTCGCTATAATTTGTGTGTCAAATTAGATTACAATAGATGGAATGGATATAGTCTATAATCCCTAAATTCATTTATTGATTACACGCCATTAAAGTCCACTGCTAAACATAGGCCACCCCCGTACATTACTATACTCATAGAGGGAAATTGCCATGTTATGCTTGGCAGGCGGGTTGGCTACGAAAGTGTTTTTTTTTATAATTTTTGAGTTGTTATCAGGTTTCTCCTCCTCTATCACTGTTTCATTTTGCCTCTGTCGCCTATGATGACACCTTTTTTTATAGGATAACGGTGACAAACGAGCACACAGTCCACCTGATGGTAAGTGGTTGCTGCGGCCCATAGACATCTACATCTATCCTCTATTACAAATCAAAATGTAGATGCGTTGTCACCCGTGAGGACTAAGATGGAATGCCTCATTTCCAGTAAAAAGGGCCTCCGGCCACCTGCACTCACCAAGCGAAACGCAGAGGTAAACCTCTACTTCACGCTGGTTTTCTGTGAGGTCGTGGTACCACCCCGGTTCGAGCCGGCCTATCTGTGCGACAACAAAAGCTGCCGCGTGGCTCTACCACGACTGGCATATATATATGAGGTAGTGGATATTCTTACACTTAATAAAGGATAATAATAAGGGGTTTTTTTTCTAATGATATTTATGCGAAAGATGTAACATGCTACAATAATATATTATTATATTAACTGGTTATTTATCTATTTTTATTTTTATCATTATTGCGTTGTTATCATCACTTTCCCTCTGTCACATCTTATAAGACCCACGGGATGATAAATGGTAATGGATTCTCTTAAACCTCCGCTACACGGCATCTGCATTTCAAAAACATCAAGGATGAAAATGAGCCAAAATAAAATGTCAAAGTTAAAACAATTTTTAAAATTTTGACACCGTCTTAGTCAGCTATCTGGTGAAACGTAACTGATCAAAAGAAAACTACACTACAGCTATCAAAAGAGCACGGATATTTGCCATAGTTTCCACGCTTAGCAGGTCAGTTGGAAACAGTACTTATTTATTATCTAGTTACATGTATTAGGAAGACGTTGTTGCCAGTCTCCTGGTTTGTTTACCTCCGTCGCTTCCTACTATATCCACGAGACGCTATGGGTAGTGGATATTCTTACACCGCCACCGCAAAATCTTTAATTTAATTACTTATTATTTAAATTTAAAAAAATATACGTTGTAGTCATTGACTTATATATTTACTTTTTAAATCAATGGTTATAATACAAAAAGAAAAATTTCGCTCCGCTGCTCGTGAGCGAATTGGCGGACACGCTGGTTTTCCTCATGATCTTTTCCTTTAACGTATAACAACTTACAATGTTCAGAAGTACTGGCGAGGATTGAATTCGCGTTGCTGGTATTCTATGAAAGTTTACTAACCTGAGAAGACAGAGCATACCTTTATTTATTTAGCCCTTCCATCACAGGAAGGATTTGGCATATTCAACACGTTTCGCACACCTTTAACACTGCTCCCCGTCGAAGGTCTGGATATATTATACGTGGTAGAGCCATGTTGCAGCTATATTACTGGTATATAGCACAGGACGGCTCGACCGGACCACGCTCTCACAGAATACCAGTGTAAAATAGCAGCTTAACTATGCTGTGTTTCGTATGGTGAGTGTATGAATTTCATCTTAGTCCTCACGAGTGACAACAACGCATCTGCATCGAGGATAGATGTAGATGTCTATGGGAATCACATATCATCAGAAGGACTATATGCTCGTTTGTCACTCTTATCCTATAAAGAAATAACTACCGGCTCACACTAAGTGGTGATGATATTACCACGGCTACACGACAACCACGGTACCAAAATGTATAGAATTTTTTTTTTTTTTATTAGGAAACTCAACAGCATATTTTTAACAATCATACTTAACATACATATTAACACACTTAGCCAATAACAGAGTTTCACAACATGCTGAATAACACTTACAAAGCAGAGAGGTAAAATTGTAACTTAATACATTTTATCTAAATACATAATATTTTACACACGATTGCAGTATATGGTTCTATATTTTGTGATTTGTATACATTTATGTTTAGATTTAAATTTAAATTTAAGATGACAGCTTTTAATAAAATTAATAAAACAACAAAAATAAAATGATATTCACTGAATAAAATAAAATAGAATAAATAATATAAATACATAAAATAAATTAAATGTGTTACATGTTATTTTGTATACCTTATAGTTCTATTATAACTAATATAACGACATGATTTCCACATTGTTATTTTTACAGAATTGTTAAATTTACAGAAATGTTATTAATATATTAATTTCATTAAAATAAGGCCTCCTCTCTAAGAGGCAAATTACTTTATACTAAATTTAAGTTATATAGATAATAAAGAATCTGAATATTATTACCTAATTGTAGATTCAAAAAATTCCTTGGCGCGTTTGATGTTCGAATGATCTTCTAAGAGCCTGAGACCCGCGAAAGATGAAAGCTCAAAGCTTTCCTCTAAAACCTCGTAGTTGATTTGCGTATTAAGGCACATTACACCAACTGCAACTTCCTTATGCTGTTACAGAAATAAGTTAATTTGATCTTTTTGGTATAAATCGATATAAATCATCATCATCATATCACATTTACAAAATGTTATCATCTTGGCGTGGAGTAGATATTTTTCTCACCACGGTTTCGTCCACGATGGCTGGGATGAGGCAAATCTCATCTATGATGGTTGGGATAGCGGTTCATCGTAATACAGACAGCCATCATGAACCACTCCTAGCAGAAGCATTTTAGGTTTAGTTTGAGCTATTAACTGAAGTATTAGTAGTGTTTAGCACTACTAATACTTCATTGCTAGTATCCTTCAGCTTAGAGCTTATGAAATATATTTTCAATGTCTGGGATAATTCACGAGATGTAAATATTAATATTTTTGTATATAATCAGTCCAATGCTTTCGATCGTGTTCATCATGATATTAATCAGGAAACCACAATATAACGGTGTCAAAAATATTGTGCTTAGACTTATTCTTTCATATTTAAATAACAGAACTCAAAAAGTCGTTCTGTAGTATCAATAGGTGTTCCTCAGGGCTCCATTCTTGACCCATTCCTGTTCTTAATATATATTAATGACTTACCTTATTTTGTAGGGTAGAATCGCTATATAGTATAGTCTACCTCTTTAAAAAAACTCAAACGACAGTCAATTAATTTTGATAATGTAAATAAAGCTCTATCGAAATTAGTACATTGATTTAACGCCAATTTGTTCTTAAACGGCAATAAGACAAAATGTATTAAATTTACAATACCTTATGTTAAACATTAGAATACAGCCTAAGAAAAACACACAGTCAGTCATCCTGTTTGATATTGTCGGAAAAGCCGACATAAACAATGAATTGCAAGGGTTGTCAGAACGGGAAATAATAAAAAAAATGATTTTATTTTATTTCACGCTTAAACAAAATAATGTGTCTGTGGATACTGATAAAACTAATTCCTTATCTTTAAATGAATCCGCAACTCGCCCCGCACCGCACTGCAAGATTGTCCCGTCTTGATGCCTTCGATGAACGATTGTTAGTAGCAGTGTTGCCAACCGTACGATTTAAAAGGTATTCATACGATCTTTTTGGCCCTAGTACGATGTACGATCGTGTATTCGAAATCGTACGCAAAATATACGATCTTTCCAAATATTATAATCTTTACAACAAAATAAAAATGACAATTGATTAAGTTCATTTTATCGACATGAAAAATCAATAACATCGAAACTGAACGAGCTCTAAACTTTTCTTTGTACTTTGTACCCACTAGCACTTTAGAAATACGCGGCGTACTAGTACTTCTTATTAGTTTGTGTTATTATATATCCGTCAACGCGCCGCCGATTAAGGAATTCCCCGCTCAGTTTAACCGCCTTTCTCCGAGTTTGTTTTACGTCATTCTATTCGTCCTAATCCAAATAACACTACACTACGCAGATAATAATCATATATTACATATTTTTGTTAATTTTATTTACATATTTTGTAATAGAGGGCAGAGTGGACATAGTCCGAAACCCCTTTTTTTAATAAAAAAAAGTCGTAGTAATATTTAGTGTCAGATTCTTAAATGTTATATGATTATTATGATATTAATAAAAAATACAAATATAATAATATTATATTTGTATTTTTTATTATTGTTTTATTGAAATATTGATCCATACTATCTTTTTTTTTTGAAAATATGATGTTTTCCAGTTTATGGTACGGTCTCCAAAAAAATAAAGCTGGCAACCCTGGTTAGTAGTAGTTAAGACTGTGATTTATAACTTAAATTGTGAGGAGTCCTTTAGAGAAAATTTAAAGAAATAAACAAATTTACTTTGTCATCGCCATATATTTATGAAAATATAATGTACATAAAAACATAAAAAGAATTTTAAAAAGGTCCGCTGGGTTTCTTGTTGGTTCTTCCAAGGACCGACGTAGTTTTCGAACCAGTGGTAATAAAAAAAATATTTTCAATAGGTATTAATCTAATGTAATGATCTACAATCAACAAAAATCATTCTATTCTATTCTATACTTAAAAATATATTAAATAAAAAGTTTACCTCACAAACCAGTATCACTCGGTCAGATTCAGGATGACGAGATACAAGCTCGCTGATGTAAAAATCACCGTAGATTTCTCTCAAACGTTTTGAACACCTTTCTATTATCGGCAGTATGTCATCATTATCTTCTTCCCTAATAGGCCAAGATATTCAATTAATTCTTAAAATATTTTAAACGTATTATATTAAATGAGGAAATTCAAATAGCTTCACATCATTCCCTACAATATTCCCGTCATTTACCAACTGATAAAGATTAGTGCATTTTATTAATGTATACGCTCTTGTGTCGAGCATAAAGAAACTTTTTACCACATCTCATTCCATGGGTTTCGATACGTAGACCAATACCATAATTACTTAGTGGCCTCCAACAAAGGTCTATCGTCTTTAAATAACTTTAATGTGATTACTATACATATTATAGATTTACATATTCAGTCGGCAACCTCTGTCAAACGTGGCTATTACAGCATATTCTCCCCTTTTCGGAGAATCAGAACTGCTAGCGGTGTGTAATGAAATTATTTTACGATATAAACAATATGAAGAAATAGCAATGTTGTGTTTAGTTGTTAATATCACCAAACGATTAATTGATTTGTTCAAGTTATATCATGGTATAGTCAAAAAACAATATTAAATTTAATTAAGCGCCACCGTTTCGTGCCATAATAGACTATTTTGTAATATTATTAATTCTAAAATCTGGCCAATACATAAATAAAAATATCTTTATTTAAACCAAATGGATAGTGAGAGTTTTGCAATAATTACAGTTTTTATCAGTTTATTTATAGATAAAAATACTATTTTATATATTATAAATTAAACTAAGAGACACCTCACATTTTATGATTTTCGATAGATGTCATTATTACTAGTGACCGACCGAAGATTCGGTTACGGTTTCGGCAAAAAATATAGTTTCGGTAATAGTTTCGGTTTCGGCAAAAAACCTGCCGAACCTTCGGTGGCGCCGAAACTCAGTGTTCGTGGATTATCGAGCGTCGTTCGGATGAGTTCGTGATTCGTATTTTATTCATAATTATACAGAAATAGAAAAAGAATCTTTTTTATTCAATATAGATTGTAAATAATACTTATTGAAAGTCACTCTTTTCTTTAATTACCACTGGTTCGAAGAAAGCCTCTGTCCTTGGAAGAACCAGCAAGAAACCCAGCGGGACTTTTTTTTAAATAACAGCTTACAATCAGAGGCGTAGCCTGGACTAATATAAACGTGCGTGAAGTTGCATCAGCAAGGCTCCTTTTCTTTCGTTCCATGGGTCTACCGAATAGATCTATCCTACCTAACATGCATTGACACGACATACAAGGGCTACACTGAAAGTTTTTAGAACTGGCCACATGTAAACGATATAATAAAATAATAAGTTCAAATTTTGAAAATTGAACTCTTTGCCAATATTATTGTGTATTTATTTTATTAATTTGTCATTTGTTTACAATTTAGCGGCAAATTGAAAATTGTCTGTGTCACATCAGCATGAATTTAACGCGAGAAAATTTTCGTACACTGATTTTTTAAGAATTTCGATGTTATTTAAGTCAACAAGAAAGATATGATAGACTTCGGTTGGCCTTTCACGATGCAGTCCCATCTCTTGCTACTTTTTATAACTGGTTTAATGAGTTTAAACGTGGTCGCACTAATTTCACCGATGATCTGCGTGAGGGACGGCCATTGATTTAGTCTTGTATAACTCAATGGGGACGGCCCTCTACGGCGACGACTGAAGATAACATCAGTGTTGAGCGGTGTGTGATAGAGGCTGACAAAAAAGTGACTTGTCAGGAAATTCTGACAAGCTTAGGCATCGGTATGTGTCAAGTGCACAAAATCCTTCATGAATATTTAGCAGTCAGGAAGCTTTGTGCCCGGTGGATACCTCATAACTTGACAGAGGCCCAAAAACTCCGTCGTGTTGATTGGTGTCGTGAAATGGTTCAAACATTTAATGGAGGTAACTCAAATGCTGTGTTGGACATACTTACAGGTGACGAAAGCTGGATTTATTGTTATGATCCTGAAACTAAGAGACAGTCTGCTGTCTGGGTGGTTCCTTCCGAGGAGTTGCCAACTAAAGTAAAGAGAAGTCGAAGCGTGGGGAAAAAGATGGTGGCCTCGTTCTTCGGAAGGACAGGTCATTACGCAACAATTGAATTAGCGGATTGAAAAACAGTTACTGCAGAGTGCTACACTAACAATTGTTTGCTATTTGTCTTGGAAAACGTTCGGGAGAAATGACCTCGCAGTAGTATCCTCCTTCACTACGACAACGCCTCGTCGCACACTGCCAAGCAAACAATTGACTACTTGGCGACGTAAGACGTAGAATTACTGGGTCACCTGCCCTATAGGACCGACCTCGCAATTTGATAGAATTTGCGATTTTTATTTATTTCCGAAAATAAAAGAAAAACTTCTTTAAAAAGATGTATATGGACACTATTTTAAAATATATAATAATAGTAATAACTTGCTAGTATGTTCAGTTTTTGATTTTTTAAGAACTTTTAGTGTTACCCTCGTACTTACTCATATCTATTAATTCCTGACAAGTTTCGTATTCCGTCAATGTAGCAATCATGGTCTTTGAAGGTAGTTTCAAAGACCGTGATTGTTGCCCCAAACAAACGCACTTTCACTTTTTCAAGGGTAAAAAAGTGATCAAGTTAATTAGTTATCTGTGGTAAAGTCTGGGGGAATCGCATTTTAGGCGGTCTCACGAGGCCCCTTTAAGTGCGAGGCCGTGGGCGAGGGCCCACTTCGCCCGCAGGTAGCTACGCCACTCTTACAATCATGTATGTAACACAATTAACAACAAAAAAGAAATTAGAAATAGCTTGGTTGTGATAACCATAGTTATTATCATTAACATAGTTATTATCATCCATACATTCCTTGATATTATAATAACCGTTTTTAAACAAACTTAGTTTAAAGTTTTTGAACTTAGAGCAGGTTTTGTATATTTTATGGGATTTGGTTAAGATATGTTTATGTATATTGTGTGTGAGTGTGATATATGAAGTTAATTCTCTCATGGAATAATATTAACAATATTGTGAACACAATAAAATATGGTGTCAATTAGCGAGCAACTTTTTATGGGTGTTGATTTTTTTACAAAATTGATTTAAAAAGTATTTCTTAACGTTAAATTGTTGATTTTTACTTGAAATAAATAAATATATTGCTGCATGACTATTACAGTTACTGTTTTTGATAAACATTCATCACCTATCTGTATATGTTAAAAAAATATACCAGATTCCAAAATACAATCAAAAAAATGAACATGGTTAAATAAGGTTCGGTTTCGGTTTCGGCCGAAACTGACACCCAGACCAAAGATTCGTTTTCGGTTTCGGTTTAGGTTGGAAATCCTGTTTCGGTCGGACACTAATTATTACCTATTTAAGTAGTAATTAGTTACTATAAACTTTATTATCATCATCATCATCATTACAGCCCTTCACAGTCCACTGCTGAACATAGGCCTTCCTCAAGGAATGCCACAAAGCACGGTCCTCAGCCACCTGCATCCATCGACTTCCTGCATTTCTTACCAGGTCCTCACTCCATCTAGTAGGGAGACGCCCTACACTTCGTCCGCCGGTATGAGGCCGCCACTCGAGAACCTTTTTTCCCCATCGGTTGTCGGTTCTTCAAGCTATATGGCCGACCCATTGGCACTTCAGCTTACTGATCCATTAGGCTATGGCGGTCACTCTGGTTCTACTGCGGATATCCTCATTTCTAAGTTTATCACGCAGAGAAACTCCGAGTATAGCCCTTTCCATAACTCGCTGAGCGACCTTCAGCTTCCTCATACGGCGATCAGTGAAGGACCACCTCTCAGTTCCATAGGTCATCACTGGCAACACGCACTGGTTGTACAGTCTCGTTTTCAAGTTTTGAGGTATACCTGTATATGTGCCGTAATTTTTCGAACGCTGCCCAGCCGAGTTGATTAATTAGAAACTTTGTTAATTCCTACTAATATGAAATAACGAAAGAACTGGAAAATGAGCATTAGAATTTTCAAATAGTTATGAATTAAATGATTTAAACATATAAATGTAAGTTATTTATTTTTATTTTATTTATTAGGAACTGGAGGTAAAATGTTACTACTTTTTGAATATTACGTTAGATGGCACTGTTTTGATAAAGTGAAACGTTGATTGTCGGCGTAATTCAAATTATTACGCAACAGTTAAAACTAATTTTAGGATTTATTTATAAATACGTTATTTATTTAAAAAAAACACATCATCATCATCATCATCATTACAGCCTTTCATAAGTCCACTGCTGAACATAGGCCTCCCCCAAGGAATACCACAAAGCACGCTCCTGAGCCACCTGCATCCATCGACTTCCTGCATGTCTTACCAGGTCGTCACTCTATCTAGTGGGGGGTCGCCCTACACTTCGCCTATCGGTACGAGACTGCCACTCGAGAACCTTTCTTCCCCATAGGTTGTCGGTTCTTCGAGCTATATGGTCGACCCTCTGCTACTTCAGCTTACTAATCCGTTGGGCTATGTCGGTTACTCTGGTTCTACTGCTGATATCCTCATTTCTAAGTTTATCACGCAGAGAAACCCCGAGCATAGCCCTCTCCATAGCTCGCTAAGCGACCTTGAGCTTCATGCGGCCAGCAGTGAAGGACCACGTCTCAGATCCGTTAGTCATCATTGGCAACACGCACTGGTTGTACAATTTCGTTTTTAGATTTTGAGGTATGTCTAACGAGAAGATGTGTCGTAGTTTCCCGAACGCTGCCCAGCCGAGTTGAATCCGTCGATTGACCTCTCGATCGAAGTTGGACTTCCCTAGTCGGACTATTTGTCCCAGGTAAACATACTCGTCAACAACTTCGAGCTTAGTGCTCTCAACAACTACCGGCATAGGTGTGACATGGACGTTAAACATGATCTTTGTTTTGTTCATGTTCATCTTAAGACCTATCCGTTGGGAGACACTATTGAGGTCATTGAGCACAGTGCTTAGGTCCTCCAGCGATTCTGCCATAAGGACTATATCGTCGGCAAATCGAAGATGAGTGATATACTCGCCATTGATGTTAATACCGCATCCTTTCCAGTCCAGTAGCTTGACAACGTCTACCAATGCAGTGGTGAAGAGTTTCGGGGATATAACGTCACCCTGTCTTACACCTCTCTGCAGTTTTATAGGTTTCGTACTCTGATTCTGTACTCGGATAGCCATCGTAGCTCTATTGTAGTAACACTTCAGCACTTCGATATACCGACAGTCAACTTGGCACCGCTGAAGGGATTGCAGCACCGCCCAAATTTCGATGGAATCAAAGGCTTTCTCATAGTCCACATATGCAAGGCAAAGTGGCAGATTATACTCCTCTGTCTTCTGTGCAAACTGCCGCAGGGTATGTATGATCTATGGTACTAAAGCCTTTTCGGAAACTGGCTTGTTCGAGAGGCTGGAAGTCGTCAAGTTTGCGTGCGAGGCGATTCGTAATGACTCTCGTAAACAGCACGTAGATGCGGCTCAGAAGGGAAATCGATCTTTAGTTCTTCAAAAAAGCCTTGTCGCCTTTCTTGAAGAACAAGACCACCGCACTTCTGCTCCACGCCTCTGGAGTAGTGCCACCATGGAGGACGGAATTAAAGAGCTTCTGAAGGACTTCAAGTCCGGTTTTCCACCCGCTTTCAAAAGCTCCGCTGTATTTCCATCCTCGCCCGGGGACTTGCCGTTTTTAAGGTGCTGGAGAACCATTCTAATCTCGCTCAGACTGACGTCCGGGATATCTTCGGAATAGTGTCGGATAAGACTCGCTCTTGGATCGTTACTCACAATTGCGTGTGGCTCCAACGATGACGTGTACAGCTGCCTATAGAACCTCTCAATCTCACTCAAAATCTCAGGTGTCCCGGAAACGATGCTGCCACACTCGGTCTTCAGCTTTGACAGTTGGCTCTTTCTGGCAGACAGATCTCTGGCAAAGACTTTGGAGCTTTGGTTTCACTCAATCACTTCTTCAATACAAGATGTATTGAAGTTGCGTAAGTCCCGCCGCTTGCATTTGGAGATCTGTCTGTTCAGATTTCTGTATGCTGTCAAATCTGTTCATCTCCCGTCTAACAGCCAAGAGATTAAGAGTGTGATCGGAGAGTTTTTGTGTTCTTCTGCGGCGGGTCTTGCAGAACTTAGCTCCGACCGCATGGACAGTATCCACGAGCTTGTCATTCATATCGTCCACTTCATTGCAGTCTTCTAGGCACTGAAAACGGTTTTGTAGCTCGAGCTGAAAGGTTTTGGGACTTTGGATTAGAGCACGCGGGGGACGGAGCGTTGACTTCATTAGACGAGACCTCTCCAACTTAACGTTTAGGTTCAGTGTGCCTCTAACCATTCGGTGATCGCTACCAGTTTTCACCCTCGCGATCACGGAGACATCACTGAACAGTTGTCGTCTGATCGTCAATCTCATTTTTTGTCGAACTATCGGGGCTCGACCAGGTCCACTTCCTGTGGGGCCGCTTCTGGAAGAAAAAGTTCATCATAAAGAGTCCCTCGTTCTCAATGAAGTCGGCCAGCTGCTGGCCCCTTGGGTTCCGTTGCCCTATTCCAAATTTCCCTACTTTCAGCTCACCTTTCTCTCTGTGCCTAGTTTTGCATTGAAGTCTCCCATTAATACCGTATAGTGGTTTTTGGAGGAATGCATAGCTCTAGAGATATCCTCATAATTTCCTCCACCTCCTCATCGGGGAGTGCCGAGGTTGGTGCGTAAACCTGTATGATTCTGTGATTGTGATTCGTTTGGTGATTCTCAGTATAAGGTACGCAACCCTCGTCGACATACTCTCAATCTTTACAACGTTGTTAACGAGAGGCTTGTGAACGATAAATCCGAAACCTCCTTGGGACAGATGGTTGTCCTCCCGGTGATAGAGCAAGTTGCCGGATTCGAGGATTACCGTGTCCTTCTCCTCTCTTCGGACCTCGGATAATCCTATAATATGCCAGCGTATCTTGTCTATCTCTTCTTCCAGCTCCACGATCTTCTCGTCAGTCCTCAGGGTGCGTGCGTTGTATGTTGCCAGGTCGAGTCGTCTTAGGTGGCAACCGAACCTCCACCGGAGATTCTTAGCACCCCCTGCCCCGCCGTTACCATGGTCGCCACCGTAGCCAGGAATAGCGGGGCCGCTGGGGACTGGGGGCCGTCTCTTTGTTACCTTCATAGGGGGGTTTATTTGCCATAGTTGCCACGCTTGGCGAGGGGGTTGGCAACCGCAGTTATATTATTGTAATTTTTCTGTTATCAGGAAGATGCTGCTGCCCATCTCCTGCCTGTTTCCCTTTGTCGCCTTTTACGACACCCACGGGAAGATATGGGGTAGTGGATATTCTTAACCGCCACTACACGGCATCAATAGTAATCAATAATATGAAATATAAATTAACATCTTGAGGGGGGAAATACTTAACCCTCCTTTTATAAAGTTCCGCAATCGGATAAAAAGTAGCTTATTAGTTGCCCTGGGTCCCTAACTACCTACACACAAAATTTAATGGAAATCTGTAGACGTTTTTGTGTGAATCGGGAATACACAGACAGACAGACAGACAAAAATTCTAAAATCCACTAATTTGGTTTCAGTGCCCTTTATTTAGTCCCCTGGAATTGTTTTCTTCAGAAAATATTGAAACTATAGACACTACTTTTCTACAGATTTATTATATGTATAGATTCCATGCATGGAAACTCACAGATAAGCGATAAAATCTAAGAATTGCAATGTCTAAATAACGGTTTTAAAAATATCTAAACAACTTGTTATACTCTGAGATTTTGATTTCTTATTTTATAAAGGAGACAAATAAAAAAATGGCATTCTTACACTGCTCTTCTAATACGAAGATTGAGACAAACGTCATTCCTTTCCACGATATTAAGACTTGGTAGACGTTCCCCGGAGATTCCTCGCTCTACAACCTGTATCCGTCTGAATGAGGCTTCAGAGAGAGGCTGACCTGGCACTAGGACTACCAATTGAAAAAAATATTATGAATAGTAAATATGATAACGATAAGACACGTCAATAAATAAATTACTGTTCGAACAAGAGTCACGGTAATTGGTAACAGGGCAAGGAGGGTTCCCTAAGAGAGTTTTGGGAGCAGGAAAAACTCCATTGCGCTTGCCTATTGGAGGGTTGGCGGACTTCATATGGCCTCGAAAGGTAAATCAGCATTTAAAATTACAATTAAATATTTCATTTAGATACAAATATTTCATTTAATTTCAATTTACTGTTTTGTCACCAGTGGGTAACGAGCTAGCTTAGTGCATCTATTCAACAAAATAACTTATTGTTTTGTCTACTGACTTCAAAAAGGAGATGGTACTCAATTCGACTGTATGTTTTTTTTATGTGTTACCTCATAACTTTTTAGTGGGTGAACCGATTTCGATGATTCTTTTTTTATTCGAAAGCTGGTGCTTCAGATATGGTCCCATATAGGTCAATATAGGTCTGACCAGTAGTTTTCGATTTATTCTTAATAATTTATATTGAAGTCGGTTGTACAAAATTTCAATTTTAAATTATTGAAACAGAGATGTAATTGCTACATGCTCTAATTACAAGCAGGTCTCTTTTATGTTCCTATTACGTTAATGTTCTCAATCTCTAAAGGCATAGTCTAAAGCGTTGTCGGTAGAATAACTATTTCTACTTTTTTTTTCAAAACTAATTTCTAATTACATTTAGGATAATAAAAAGTATATAATTCTCACCATTGCATTCTGGGAGACTTTTAATCATAGCTATATACTGTAGATATGAGTCGTGCATAAACACCGACCTCAGCATGTTGTCTACAAGTTCGCGAGCGTACATTGAATTCCAACAAAATAAATGTACAAATAATGTATTCCTCGCAGTAAGCTCCACAACTCTAAAACGATTTTTAATTGTCTTAAGAATAACCTCCCTAAAGGCTTTTGTTTTAATTGTATATCTGCAACTCGGAGTTCATTTTGGATTTTCCTATTTGCAAAACTGCTACTTAACTATATTCAAGTGATAACGAGTGTCTGAGCATAAAAAAATTTAATAAATAATGTTATGGAAACATCGGTTAGATCTCGGTGTGAAAAAGATCTGGAGAAATTCATAATTACAAAAACCACGCAGCTTAGGGATTGCTTGTAAGGTACTTATGATGTAAAGAAAATTACAGAAATCGCGCCATGCTGCAGCTATATTAATAGTATAGTTGTAGCACGAATGGGTCGGCTCGACCGGGGAGGACCACGCTCTCACAGAATACCAGCGTAAAATAGCAGGTTAACACTGCTGTGTTTCGTATGGTGAGTGTAAATAACCGGAGACCCTTTTTACTGGAAAAGAGGCGGCTTAAGAGTATCCATCGGCCCATACTATAAGAATTGCCAAAGAACCTATGGCATTCTATAGATGAGGGTAATCCATATCGTTTTCGCCAAAGGTAAAATATTCAGAGTGGTGACAAGAAGCAGCTTTAAAGGTCGTACTTACGAGGCGTCCAGTACCTACTCCGATCGTAAACCGTCTGCCAAGATGCTTCAGGCAAATCCTATAACAAGAGACGTCATATCCACCAGTGGCTCATTACGGCCTAATGAATATTATTATATATTATAACCGTGTAGGGGCGGTGTAAAAAAATCCACTACCCCATATAGTCCCGAGGGTATCGTAAGAGGCAACAGAGGGAAAATGAAACAGGAGATGGGCAGCAGCATCTTCTTGTTAACAATTTAAAATAATAAATAACTGCGGTTGCTAACCCGCATGCCAAGCATGGCAACTTTGGCAAAATCCGCCCATGAAGCAATAAATAAAGGATATTCTTTTATAGGATGTAATGAATGGGTGAAAAATTATTTATGCTCGTCTACTTCCTTAGATATGGATGACGAGTAAGTGCTTTTGTTTAAACCGATAGATATCGGTGTAACCACCTCGCTTACGCTAGAGGTAAAATAGTAAAATACCCTTTACCCGAACCGGCGGCGGGGAGTAACGTTACAAGTAGTGATCGTCAGTGTGCCTGCCAAGCGTGACGTTCAAGGCGAATCTTTCCCACAACAAGAAAAGTCCATGTTCAGCAATGAAATTTTAGAGGCTATTAAAAACGTATCAATGAATTTACTAATTCTCACACTTGAGAGGCTGATTGATGAGCGCAGTACTTAGACGCTTAGATTAAATGAGGGCATCCAGGTCTTTATCTGCCACCAGGGCGGCACCACTAACCAGAGTGAGGTATACTATTTGACAGATTTCATTGCGGGGACGTTAATTTGTTCGGAAAATGTAGAGGTTATTGTTTCTTTCTGTACTATTAGCTATATTTTATATTAATTAGATTAAAAATAAATAAACCGAACAACAGATATTCATAAAAGTAGAAAAATAAATAAAAAAAGTTAAAAATGTGCAAAAAAATTAAAGAGCAAACCACCGAGGTATTGTTTTGTGCATTAAAATAATAAAAAAATAATAAAATAATACACTTTAATTGAGAAGTTGGTTTTTAATAAAAGCTTATCAGTTAAGCTTTTATTAAAAACCAACTTCTCAATTAAATTACATTGTGTAACAAAAAACTTTACCTCAGTGTCAACTAGCGACATCTGGTGAGCAGAAAATTAATAGCCCTCATTCCCGTTTCCTGGTAGTATTTTGTTTGCAATTTCAAATTGTTATCTACAAATTTATCAATAGGCACAATAATTTCCTATCTTTTCTTATTGAACGTTTACGACTCTGTATTTTCTTATATAAGCGTCGATTAAAAATTATAAACCTACTTATACTTGGTCCAGATGTATTCTTCCCATGCTGTTTGATAAACTGAGGGTATTAAGGGAAAATCCTGAAGCGCTAAAAATCCCACTATATTATCATTTTCATTAAGCTGACATATGGATAACACACAATTTTTTCTGTAATAAAATCATTAAACATTTATTATTAACGTACTTATATATCTACCGTTTTTTACTTATTATAAGCCAGTGCTTGACCCCAGTCCCATCTGGTAAAGACAGACGTCGGCAAACTATTCCACTGTGTCGCGTATGACAGCTCCGTGGCGCAGTGGCTTGGTAGTGGTTTGCGGTGCTGAGAGCCACAGGTTCGAATCCCGCACGGAACAAGTATTTCTATGGCTTTCAAATAGTTGTTCCGGGTCTGGATGTTTGTCCTTGTGAAATTTATGTGTGTAAACCACGATACAGGAAAAATTTCTAGCGTTGAGGTAACGTTTTTAATTGAAAAATGAGACAAACCCCTTGGTTCGAATGCGTGAAATATCGACTACAAAGGGATAAAGGCCCGCCGATCTCGTCCAATGATAGAACGAGGAGGGAGGAATTACGGCATGTAATTCCTAGGCACACTCTCCGAAATGCATGAATTTAGAATACCTAGATACTTTGTGCCAATAAGCCTCTTAGAATGCCTCTACACGATATATTTGTCAAACAGGCTTACATTAAATAAAGTATGTCACTAGGTTTGCTGATTCGAAAATTCTTAGACATTGATTCATTAACCAGCTCGAATATTTTGGCCGCATCTTCTAACACGGCAAGGCGAATTTTCCTCAAAGAACGAATGTTTAAGGCCCTCGAAGTCATGTCCTCTTCAACTGCATGTAAATAAATAAAAACACCTTAAAATAATAAAACAAGTAAAAAAGTTTATTATTGTATACATTTTTGGCATATTTACAGAAGCTCATTTTTAATTTTTGAAGTTACCAATTTTGAAACACATAAATCCTCTGTAGCACCACTGGTCGTACGTAGTAAACGTTGTGATTATATTCTCTTTACCACAGGATAGCACCATAATGATAGTATAATAGTAATCTATGGTTCACGAGAACATAGATTTATAACTTGCACCTACTTCTAAAACACAATGGCCACTCTTTGCCAATACTCTGTAATCTATACAAATAAATAAAATTGAAGTGTCTGTTTGTAATGTCAAAATACAGCTTTTTACTAAATGCATATGAAATTATATACGGCACTAATAACAAATATACAATTTTTAAAGTTTTTGTCTGTCTGTCTGTCTGTCCGTCTGTCTGTCTGTTTGTTCCGGCTAATCTCCGAAACGGCTGGATAGATTTTGAGGGGATTTTCACTGGCAGAATGCTGATATCACAAAGAGTAACTTCGGCTACTTTTATTTTAGAAAAAGAATTAGGGTTCCGCGCAAAAAAATTAAAACCCAAAATAACACGCGAGCGAAGTCGCGGGGAACAGCTAGTATTTCAATGTATTAACATTATTACATTACAAATAAAGACTCTAAATGATCATATTGAGGTTTTTGTTAGAGACATTTAAAATTAGAAAAGAAACCAGGTGAGATAGCTAATAATTTAAAATTAAAGACTTTGTAGAACCGACTTCAATATAAATTATTAAGAATAACTCAAAAACTATTGGTCACACCTTGATCAAATTTATATGGGACCACATGAGAAACAACAGCTTTTAATTAAAGAATCATCGAAATCGATTCACCCAGAAAAAAATTATAAAGTAACACACATAAAGAAACATACAGTCGAATTGTGTACCGTCTCCTTTTTGAAGTGGGTAGAAAAGTAGTTCTTTAATAGCTCTCCAATTCCGTCCCGCATAGTGGTACAACTCCAGAGGCGTAGAGTAGTGCGGTGTTCATATACTCCAAGGAAAGCAACAAAGCTCTATTGAGGAACTAAAGACTAATTTCTCTTGTAAGCCTCATCTACGTGCTGTTTTTGTCATTACGAATCGTACCCACGCAATCCCCCGCAGACTTTGATTAGGTACTTTTAGTCGCCAGAACAAGCCAGTTTCCGAAAAGGCTTCAGAATTATATACCACATAGTATGCAATCGGCAATTTACACAAAATACCGAAGGGTACAATCTAAATACTCCTTTATCTTGCGTAGGTATATCAACTATGCGAAAACTTTTGATACCGTCGAAACTTGGGCGGTGTTTTAGGCCATTTATCGGTACCAGATTGAATGTGTAGCAGTGTATATTAATTTGTCACACTATGTAAAGTAGCTACCGAATTATGCGTTCATTATAATGAAAGCATATTGTCGTTAATCCCTCAAGCGTTGTTATCTACGTCAATATTATGTTTTCTGCACCAAGTACGCTCGTGCGCACTGTGAGCTGTTTTTTATAGAGTATGGAGTGCTCTATGCACAGTCCACCTGATGGTAAGTGGATGTTGTAACCTATAGACATCTCCATTTATCCTCAACTAGCTGTGCCCCGCGGTTTCACCCGCGTATATCACGTGTCTGAGCTGCGACTCATGACTTGACATCTAGTGCAATAGCCATGTATATAAAAATTAGCAGAATTAATTGAATACTTTTATCTATCGGTATATGTACGTTGTGGAGTGAAGCCAAATTTTATCCACTCCGCTGCGAATAGTTTAAAGTACTCCACTAATTTTGCCAATTTTTTAGCTAAAAAGATTGAATTAACCTCACTCATACTCACACCCAGAGAAACCAGCAGTGAAAGCGTTCACTGCTGGTTTCTCTCGGTTCTCATTGGGCGGCTAAAGTTTATGCGTCGTTCGCACGCCGAGCCGAGTGTTGAATTATTTTAATTTTTCATTATCTCTTGAACTATGCGTCTAAATAACATGCTATAAAGAGCAAAGTTTATCTATATATAAACATCTTGTAACTTTCGTTCGTAAGTATTGATATTTTTTTTTATAGGATCGGGTGACAAACGAGCACACAGTCCACCTGATGGTAAGTGGTTGCTGTGGCCCATAGACATCTACATCTATCCTCAATAAAGATTCAAGATGCAGATGCGTTGTCATCCGTGAGGACTAAGATGGAATGCCTCTTTGCCAGTAAAAAGGGTCTCCGGTTCTCTACACTCACCATACGAAACACAGCAGCGTTAAGCTGCTATTTTACGCTGGTTTTCTGTGAGAGCGTGGTCCTTCCCCGGTCGAGCCGACCCATTCGTGCTACAACCATAATATAGCTGCAGCATGGCTCTACCACGTAGAAATGCCATGCCATGCCATGCCTAATGATAATGCTCATAAATCACTTTTTAATTTTTAATAATTTTTCGTCACAAAATACATTATTGTGGCTTATGTATTAGAAATAGGCATAGGGTATCGCCATAGACTTAGAATATACTGGCGGTATAAACGGACATCGTGTGTAAGGAAGAAGAAAATTCCTTATGACAAAAATACAAGATAGGACAAAGGATCTCATGAATCGGTAACCGATTTTGAATGATAGGTCAGCACAAGTCCGCACGCAAGAAATAAGCTCCTAGATATTTTATAATTGTTTAGATTATAATATTGTTAATGTTTATAATTCACAGTTTTCCAAAATGGTTAAGAACATGTGCCGTGAGTGACTGTGGTGCCAATAATAGAAATAATCCTGATGGTTGCACAATTCAGAGGTAAATTCACAAGGCATCGTTACTGGCATGACGCGTCTATTTTTTGGTTGAAATTTATTTATTTATTTATTTACTCTTTATTGTACACCAAAAAATAAAACAAAACGAATACAGTTAAATGTAAAGTAGAAAATGTACAAAAGGCGGTCTTATCACTCTGAAAGTGATCTCTTCCAGACAACCTTAGTGTAGAGAACTGATGCAAACAATTTTTTAAAATAGAGAAGGGCGTACAAAATAAAAATAAAATATGAAAATACATACAAATAAAGATTGTATGTATTTTAATAAAAAGTGAAGATTATGTGTTATATAATATAATAGATCAATTGAACAAAATACGAAAAAGGAAAAGTAATTTATCTAATAGCGTTCTAAGTAATACGATTTAACAAGACTTTTGAAAGACTTCATTCTTTCAAAAGTCTTGTTAATTTAGATTGAGCACGACGAATGTGAAGAGTTAAAGAGTTCCATAAACGTACAGTAGTTACAATAAAGGATTTCTTAAAAAAGGAGGAAGAGTGCGAAGGCGTAGAGAGAGAAAAATTGAGAGAGGATCGAGGGAACCGATTATGGGTAATGGAAAGATACTGGAAACGGTCTTTTAAATAATGAGGAGTGGAAGGATTAAACAGCACGCCATACAAAGTGGAGAGAATGTGAGTATTCCTGTGAAGGCAGATCGAGAGCCATTTGAGCTGTTTGCGAAATTCAGAGATATGATCATATTTGCGAAGCCCAAATATGAATCTAATACATAAATTTTGAATGCGCTCAAGCTTATTAAGCTGCTCCTCGGTAATGTCAAGATAGCAAATGTCAGCATAGTCAAGGATAGGCAGAAGTAGAGACTGGGCGAGCGTAACTTTAGTTACTGTGGGAAGAAAATTACGTAATCTACGTAAAGAGCTTAAAGCAGCAAACATTTTTCTACTAACCTTATTAACCTGTGAGGTCCAAGACATACAAGAGTCGCGATACAACCCCAGGTTTTTAACCTTGTTACTGTAAGGGATTTGAGTGCAGTCTAGTAAAATAGGAGGTAGGAAAGACCAGTCAATTTTTCCAATTAATCTAGAACTAGCGACGATAATGGCCTGAGTTTTCTTAGGATTAATCGTTAAACCATAACGTTTACTCCAATTCGAAATACAAGTCAGATCAGCGTTAAAACTGATTTAGAAAAATCTTCAAGAGACGATTGAGTATAGATTTGGAGATCATCAGCATACAAGTGGTAGGAAGAGGACAAATTATGACTTATAGAGTTAATGAAAATTGCAAACAGGAGAGAAGACAACACGCCACCTTGTGGTACGCCAGTCGCTATAGTAGTCCAGGTGGAAAAAAATATCTTGCACCTGAATGCGCTGTCGTCGACCAAACAAGCAACTTCGAAACCAGTCAACTACACCAGGTAAAAAGTCATCTGTTTGACTTCGGAATGACTTTGACATCTCAATTAGTGAACCTTTCAGTGCTTCCATGGTAAAAATAATTGTACAGTGCAGTGATGTTAGAGAAAATACATGGAAATAAGTGCTGGTAGGTAGTTATTTATTACATGTAAATAATTAACATGAAATTCAAACTGTAACTATTTTTAAAATATATTTAAATCTACGATGTCAAAAATATGTAATACTCAAATCACCTACCCTCCAATTTTGCAAATTTATGTTATACTAGCTGTGCCCGCGGCGTAGCTCGCGTATATAGGTTTTACTTAAAGAATTTGACGTTTAGGTAAGAGAATATTAAAAGATTTATATCATTACTGTATGAATAAGTGGCACCAAAATAAATCGTTATGCTCAAAGTTCTGAGTCGTTTGTGATAGAACTTCTGTGTAAACGACGTTAGAAGTAGACAGCCGGGGCGTACAGAAAAATGTTACGGGAGCTACTAACGCGGGAAAAAGCAACATAGAGTTGGCCATGTGCAAAACAGTCAGTACTGAGGTCCACTCCTGCAACGCGTAAAGTTTGACATTGCGCTTTATTTACGGTCATCGGTCATCGCATAACACACGCTGACTGGGAATGGAAAGTGGGAAAAGAACACGCTTAGAACTGAAAGGAAAGTTATTTGATATAAGGTGGATTCTTGGTATAAAACAACATCATCAACATCATATTGTTTTTGATGCAATTT